GTTCGAAGAGATTGTAATTTTTTCCATTTTTTATGATTCGCCAGAATACTTAGTTAGATGGTCTAAAAGCAGAGGAGAAATGGGTGGAATTTTTTCGTAATAACGATAAATCCCCATGCTTGGAAAAAATTTGTGAGTATGTTTTCTCCTCTCATTCTAATGCCTCATCGGAGCGCATTTTTAGCCTGATGAGGACTGCCTGGAGAAAGGAGAGAAATCGAATTGCTTTAACAACATTAGAGGCCGAGTTAATGGTTAAACAAAATTATAAAATGTCATGCCAGGAATTTTATAAATATCTTAATAACGACGATAAACGTTTAGTTCCATTATTTAAATCTCAAATAAAATATAATTAACTATAACTATTTGACTTTCTATATTTTATAAAATCTTATTTATACATTTGCATAAAATCAAATAAATTTATTTTTTACATTGTAAAATTAATATTTTAAATATTTTGGCAAATCATAAAAATAAAAAAGCATTACAATCTCCTCAAACATGACATCATATTATATCTTATTAATAATTATCCGATAATAGTAATAATATTCTTACTTTGGTATTTCTGCAGCATAATTTAGTGAACCTTTATTAAATTATATTCTTCTGATTGCAACTGCATATTAACAGCATATAGTAGATTTCCTATATGTAAAATTTCTAAATATATGTTATGTTCTATCTCCCCACTTGTCCGGTATAACTTATTTCTTTTCTTTACGTTTTTCTCCACTTGTTTCTTTTGTTTTCCCATCTTCCTTTTTTTTTGTTATGAAATTGATATTATACTTTATCTTTATATTGCGAATGATTGTATCGCGATTATATAACAACCTTTTTTTTTCTCTTTGTTTTAAAAATTATAAAGGTTGGAAAAATACCTTTTTCTGGATCAGTGTTTTTTTTTTATTGTGTAATTTATTAAATATTTTTTTTGTAAAATTTAAAATACATGACTTTTATGAAAATTTATTGTGCGTAGTTTTTAATTATTTTGTAAATTGTAACATTTTAACAATAAAGTTAAATTACTAAAATTACTCTGGATGATGACAAAGTTAAAAACCGGTCCCACGAATTCTGCCGATCCCTCACCTTATCCCACGGTAGAACCGCTCACGGTCGTGGCCCCACACACAACAATATACTTCTGCCATTTATTTTTGAAAATTTTTTTCAAAATATTAGGACAGCTTTTATAATCTATTTATTTTTTAAAAGTTTGTAAAATTTTAAAATTCTACGATGGCGCGTATTAGGAGGAACCTGTCAACCAACATTATGCTGACTCAATTCTGTAAATACACTCTGGTTTTTGCCAAATTCACTGAGGAATTATCAGATCAGAAAGCTGCCATGCAATTCATTGGTAATGCCAAATCTGCCATATTTACCAATATATATGGTTAGCTATGTCTTTGGATATTTCATATCTGGAGAAAATTTTTTTAATAGTTTTATTGAAATGACATTAATTTTGTTGAAATAGGGGAGGATCAAGGGAAATGTTTTGATATCTCCTTATTAGATACATCTGTTAGAATTGCATATGTTTCCACATCTTTCAAATCGTCAAGAATTGACCTTCTGGATTTATATCCTAAAACATTGATGATAGCCTTGCTCATTAGTGTTCTACAAAGTATACTTTTTATTTATATTAGTCGTTAAATATTATGGGGAAAGATTCTACCAACATTGTGATGTTAAGTAGCTCTCTTAATATTATACTGCATGATAGGTATTTACCATTTCCGCAACTGTAGTTGCATCTGTATTATTTCTTATTTTTGAAGAATATTTTTGTTTTGCAATAGATGTTGATAGACATCCCTGTATTGATTTATGCTTTGAAGATTTTTGATGCCTCAAAATATCATATTCTTTTCCCCCATTGTATTAACTAAATAGTGTAGAACAACTTCCCCGCACTGATTATAATTATTTTTTATATTGTAAATTTAAAATTGTTTGTTTTTTTATAAAATCTTATTTATACATTAGCATAAAATATATTTTTTTACATTGTAAAATTACAATTTTTTTATAAAATTTTATCTTGTTTACATTCTTTTGTATTTAAAAAAGATCGTTGGTTATTATTTTTAAACAAAATTAATATATTATAATAAATCAATATGTTATTTTAATAATAAAGATAGTATTTAAGAAATTTTGTGTCGTACTATAATTACCTATTTTGAAAAATAGTTGCGTATTTTATTTTGGAAAATAGTTACCTATTTTATTTTGAAAAAGAGTTGGATATTTTATTTTGAAAAATAATTTTATTTTGAAAAATACTTGGCTATTTTATTTTGAAAAATAGTTGGCTATTTTTTTTAGCAATTTTCATATTTCTCCCACAATTTTTATATTACTCCCACAAAATACCGAATTTCTCCCACAATTTGAAAATTTTGACCTGGCAACCCTGTACTTGAATACTATTAGGCTCGCAAGTGTTGAGAAAAGTTGGAATCTTTTTAAAGATGCCCTAGTCTATACATACAAAGTATTGCCAGATGTAAGTCTGATCCATAGGAAGGAGTGGATGGCGAATGATACCCTGGAGAAAATAAACCAGTTAAGAATAGCGTTTAGCTCTAATAAGGATCTTTGGAAGATGATACAAAGATTACTGCGTAGAGATAGACGGGTTTATAGTGCGAAGAAAGCGTTTGATATTGATAAAGATGTAAGAGAAAATAGACTACATGATGCATATAAGAAATTAAAATATTTTTGTAAACCTAACAGTTTTCAGAAGGTACCCTCAATAGTATTAAATGATGGTAAAATAATAATTGATCAAGATGAACAGATGGCGCTGTGGCTCGATTACTATATTACGGTTTTCGATGGACGTAAAGTAACAAGAGCAACTAGTGTAAATATAAATATGGCTTCACCCCAGTCTGGGTTCACTGTAATGGAAATTATGAATATAATAAAGAAATTACGAAACAACAAAGCTCCGGGGCTTGACAACATTACGGCGGAACATCTGAAGATTGCACCTAGAACGACATCTTCTTTCCTACTAGCCCTATTCAATAAAATATGGGAAAGCGGAAGTACCCCTACAGAATGGAACAAGTCCCTTTTATGCAATTTTCCCAAAACTGCAAACCCTCTAAAATTTACTGATTATCGTGCGTGTGCTTTAACATCTTGTGTGTCAAAGATATTTATGGTACTTATAAAGAATAAGATTGTTCATTCGGCGCCTTTTCTAAATATATTTGTGCTTACAGGCCAAATAAAAATATACTAGAACCTATATTATCTCTGAAGATAATAATGCAAAAGTGTTATAAATATAAAATTCCGTCATTTTAAACATTTATTGATTTCAGTAGAGCATTCGATAATGTTAATCATGAAGCGTTGTAGGAAACGCTTGTAGAATGTGGTATTGAAACCCAGATAATTCGTATCTTAAAAAATCACTATTCGAATTTATTCGCTTGTTTCAAAATAAATAATAAAATCTCTCCCTTTTTCAGGATTAAAAAAGGGGTAAAACAAGGCTGTACCCTCTCACCACTCCTGTTTAACATAATCATCAATAAAATAATAAAAGAAGTATTGGGAGCTGCAGATCTAGCAGACATAGGATCTAATGAGAAGATTTTTTTTGTTAATAGGATAATATCCTATGCAGATGATATTGTAGTGATTTCGAAAAGTATTGAAGAGACCAAAAATCTACTTTATCTAATTGAGACAGTAAGCTATAGAGTTGGACTTAGGATCACTTTAACAAAACGGTTATTCTTCCCTCCCCAAACGCGCCTTCAATTCAAGATTTTACAGTTGGAGGGAATACAGTGAAAATAGTAGAGAATATAAAATACTTAAGGGTAATCTTAGATAACAAAGGAAGTTGTAAAGATGAGATGAAGATGAGAATACAGAAAGCTAGAGGTGCTTTCTACAGATATATGAAAATATGGAAAGCTAGCGAAATTTCAGTGTTTACTAGATTGATGATTGTTCCAATTGCATTATATGGTGGAGATATCTAAGAGGCAAACAAAACAGAGATTAGACGGCTTCAATCTTTTATAAATAATTGTCTTCGTACGATACACGGGATTTTCTATCCAAGAGTTATCTCTAACTCGAATCTTTGGAGGAAGTCTACTCACACACCAGTGAATATAACTCTTAAGAAAAGCCGGATTCAGTTCTTAGGCCACGTAATAAGAAACTCAGATAATAATTTAGTCCACGATGCCATAACATGGCTGTACTCATATAAAGGTAAACAGTACACAAAATACAAAACATTATGGTACTATAAAACTATAAAAGATATAATGGATCTAAACGTTAACATGAAACAATTCATTAAACTGAATAACAATAAAAGATCCATTAAAAAACTGTTTCGCATCAAGAAAAGTTACCTTCAATAAGTATAAAAATACATTCTCAGAATGTATGTTACATTATCATCACCCATTAATCCTATCGTATATTTACCATCGTAATAAATTTTAAAAAAATTTAAACTCATCATTATCAAACATTTCCAATACCATCATACATTCAAATCCTCTCATAAGTATATTTTATATTTCCTTACTAAAAATTGTTTTAATATAGTAAAGATTTTTTATGTTAAATTGTCCTCAACCCACCACAACGTAATTAACTTTCACTGTAGTTATTGGGTATAGGCTCTTTTTTTATCCCATTCCCTTTTGTATAAGCCTATAGAGGTTTAAGTAATGTTTTTCGAAATGTTGCGCCTACAAGTACGTGCGGCTTGCCCACAAACGTGTGGAGGGCTCCTCATATTTTAACTTTTATACCCAAATTTAATTGTTCCAATAAGATGGAAATGAGGAAAACCTAGCGTAGCTCTGTTGCATTTCAACACTAGAGGGCATAAGCGCTATATATCACGTATCACGTAAATTATGCATATTTATATATATCTGTCAAATTTGTAATTGGTTATCTGTCATTTAAAAATTCGAATCCTCCTTTTTTTATAACACGTTCACATTTAAATTATGGCTGCCGATGATAGAAATGATATTGATGAATTATTCGATGTTAAAAATGCTTACTACATTGGTAACTATCAAAATTGTATTAATGAATCTTCTAAATTAAGGGTAAAATAATGATAAGCATGTATATAATAGTTGATATTTCCTAGAATATATCAGCTGAAAATCAAATTATAAAAGATGTTTTTGTTTATAGAAGTTATATCGCACAAAAAAAATATAAATTAGTTATTGATGAGATAAATGAAAAAAGTGACCAACAATTTTATATATTAAAACTGTTGGCACAATACCTAAATGATCCATCTTCTAGGTATACATATATATATATATGTCTCTTCTATAAATAATATTATATATATGTCTCTTCTATAAATAATATATCAATTTAGAGAAAACATAAAACATGAGATAGAAAATTATGCTAATCCTACTTTATGTTTATATAAAATTGTGGCTGCATCTATTTTCATTCAAGAAAAGGTTTATTGATAATGTCATTAATTTTAACTTATAATTAGGAATTAGAAATAGCTTTTGATATACTTTATGATTCAAATGATTTAGAATGGTATCTTGTTTATAGCCATTTTTTTTTATAATTTAAAAATATAGCTTGGCTATGACAATTCAAATATATCTACAATTAAAAAGAGTTGATTTAGCCAGGTAATTATATTAACATTTAAGTAAAATTTATATATAAATTAAGGACTATACTGCTAAAGATGCAGGCTATTGATGAAGATGCATCCCTGACACAATTATCAACAGCTTGGATAGATTTAGCTATTGTATATTATATAAAAAAATTAGAATCAAAAATATTTTAAATTTTGTTCTTAAGTTTTATAAATAACATTTTAAAAGATGAGAAATAAAAAAAATCCATGTTATATTTTATGATATATAAATAAGTCTTGATATAAATCGACATTTTTTTAATAGTCTAAATATTTATAGTACTCTCAAGCCATGTTATACACATCACTGTATTTTTCAAAACAAGGTAAAATATATAATAACAGGATGATGTGATGACATGAATTACACTGCTATGGATTATATATTTTACCTATTATTTGCTTGCTTTTGAATAATATCCAGTGATGTATGCTTAAAATGAGGTTTAAGAGATTAAAAAAAATTATTTTATATTTTTTTGATGATTCATTATATTTTAATATTTTAAGGGAATTGATAAAGCTCAAGAAGCTTTTTACATATTTCAGGATTTTTGTGACAAATACACATCTTCTGTAATTCTTTTAAATGGACTTGCAGCCGCACACATTCATTTAAAACAATATGAAGAAGCTGATAATTGCTTGAGAGAAGCCTTGGAAAAGGTTTATCCTATATATATAATTATTTTATAAGGAAATTTCTTATTAGTGATCTGCATAGGGCCTAACTTTTCATGGTCTGGCCCAAAGTTTTGCTGGCCTGGCCCGAACCCGAAATTTTTTTAAAAAATTTATAGGCCCGGCTTGACCCAAATTTATTTAAATATAGAAATTTATTTTTATAATTACTCAAAATAAAAGACATATTTTATATGTCGTTTAGTTTCAATAAATAAAATCAAAAAATTTTATTTTACATAAAAAATTCAATATAAAATTGATAAATTATGATATATTTAAAAAAATTTCCAAGATCCGACCTGGCTCGAATTTTTTTAAAAATATTAAGCCCAGCCCAAACCCGATTATTTTAAATAGAATTAGGCCCAGCCCAAATCCCGTTCAGGCCGGGTACAGGCCAGACCTAACTTTGCAGATCTCTAATTCTTATTACATTTTTAAAATAAATCCAAAAGCTCAAAATTAAAATATTGGCTTTAGAAAATATTTTTAAGTTTGGTTGAAAAAAAATTGTGAATCAGACAATTGGGTTATTCCATGTCAAATGAGCAAAAAAATCAAGATTTTCGGCCAACCCCTTTCAATTTCGATAAAAAGTTGTAGACTGGTTATATATGTTCCCATTAGATTATAAACAAAATTTTAGCGCATTAGCAACTATATTAGCGGAGATAATCGGGGTTAAAGGTCCAAAAAACGTCTTTTTTTTGCTTTTTACTGATGTCAAATAATTAGTTTTTAATTTAAAACTAAATATGATCAAATATTGAATCTAATATCAATAGCTAAGTTAATAATTGATAATTATGGCTAAAACATCAAAATTAATTTTTGATAAAATATGGGTCATCTTATGGTCAGTTGAAAACTTGAAATTAATATTTAGAAATGTATATGATCTCCGATTTTTAATTTTTTTAAGAAATATTATCCGTTTACTATTTTTTTAATAATTTCTTCAACAATTAGCATGGCTGGATATTTATTTAAAAAAATATTGGGATTTTTATACTTTAAAAAAAATAGATGGCGCTATATATAATAGTTATAATATGTTAAAATTAATTTTTCTTATTGATTAAAAATATTTTAATGTATAATATATCATAAAATTCTATTATATAACTTTGTAAACCTTATTCCCCTGAGATATTCGCAGGATAAAAAATTTTAATAATTTTTTTTAATATTTCAATGTAAATTAAAAATAATTAAAAAATCCGACTAGCACACTAACAAAAAAGCAGGATTAAAGGAGTGCAGGAAAATTATTAAGGGAAAAATCGAAAATCACATTAATTACCAGGCTTACCCCCAAACCTCCACCCCCTCCCCCCAGACTAAGTCTTACCCATCAAGATCAAGAATGTTATGAAATTTTCATTATCTTAAATTATTAAAATAACCAAAGATAAAGAAAATTTCGAAGATTTTGAAAAAATTTTTAAGCAATAAAAATAAACAAAATTATAGTTCTGATGAAATAAGCCGACTCATGCCTGGAATAAAAGATTGTGTATCTGTTAAAGGCGAGAAAGAATCAGTCCAAAGACTTATATTAAATAAGCTTAAATAAATATTCAAAATGTTTAAGGAAGAATACCCAAATATATCAATTGAATTCTCTAAATTTGCCGAACTTAGACCAAAAAACTGTATTTTAGTTGGAGCTAGTGGCACACACACTGTTTGTGTCTGCGCCATTCATCAGAATGTGAAATTAATGACAAATGTAGAAAAATTTAAAAGATGGGGAATTTTTAACAATTCTAGATTATTCTGAGAATTATTCCTTCATTTTACAAGATGAAGTTGAGGGATTTCATTGGAACAACGTGCAGGCCACTATACATCCATTTGGCATATAAATCTGGAGAAGAATTAAAAAATATAAATTTTGTTATTTTATCCAAATTTAATTGTAAACCAGAAAAAATAATATATTTTTCAGATGAAGCCGCGTCTCAATACAAGAATCGCAAAATTTTTCTGAACATATGCCTTCATAAATACGATTTTAATATTCCTGCCGAATGGCATTTCTTTGCCACTGCTCACGGCAAAAATGCAAGTGACGGTATCAGAGGAACTGTCAAAAGATTAGTTGCCAGAGCTAGTCTTCAAAGGCCAAATAAAAATCAAATCCTAACCTCATTAGAATTATATAATTATGCTAAAGAAAATATTAATGGAATTCAATTTGAATATGTATCCAATCAAGAATATATCGAAGAGGAATTAGCCCTTCGTAAAAGATTTAATGCACTGATTTTACATGGGACCCAAAAAAATCACGGGATTATTCCCATTGATCAAAATAGACTAAAAACCAAAATATATTATAATTCCAAAAAATATAATATAAAACAAGTTTCGTTTTTAAATGAGAAAATTAATTTTTAAAATATTAATGGATATATAACATGTGTATATGATGATAAATGGTGGTTAGGATATATAATCGATAAAAATGATATAAATGAAGAAGTAAAAATCCGATTTTTACAGCCTTGTGGACCTTCAGCCTCATTTAAATTTCCTCTGAAAGATGATATTTTTGTGTTGCCTAAATCTCATATTCTCTCGCTGGTCAATCCTTCTACTCCCACCAGTCAAACATATATATTATCTCCTGAAAAAATCTCACAAGCTAGCCAGGCTTTGTATTCCTTTAGATGAAGTAAGATTTAATTAACTTATAAACTATCTTAATTAGGCTAAATTTGTGAAGATTTTAAAAATTTATGATCTGAATTACAAATAAATATATATAATGGACATTGTAATCGATTTAGTATGATATATACATTAAAATATTTTTAATCAATAAAAAAAATGAATTTTAACATATTAAAACTATTATATATAGCGCCATCTATTTTTTTAAAAGCATAAAAATCGCAATATTTTTTAAAATAAATATCCAGCCATGCTAATTGTTGAAGAAATTATTAAAAAAATAGTAAACGGATAATATTTCTTAAAAAAATTAAAAATCGGAGATTATATACATTTATAAATATTAATTTCAAGTTTTCAACTGACCATAAGATGACCCATATTTTATCAAAAATTAATTTTGATGTTTTAGCCATAATTATCAATTATTAACTTAGCTATTGATATTAGATTCAATATTTGATCATATTTAGTTTTAAATTAAAAACTAATTATTTGACATCAGTAAAAAGCAAAAAAAGACGTTTTTTGGACCTTTAACCCCGATTATCTCCGCTAATATAGTTGCTAATGCGCTAAAATTTTGTTTATAATCTAATGGGAACATATATAACCAGCCTACGATTTTTCATCGAAATCGAAAGGGGTCGGCCGAAAAGTGATTGATTTGACATGGAATGACCCAATTTTAGTATACACATAATAAATAATAATAAAAAATGCAAACAAATTTCTGAATAAAATTATTTAAATAATATATAACTATCTTTTACTTTATTATAGGACAGTAATAACCCAGAAACTTTGATCAATTTGATTGTCACATCACAATTATTAGAAAAGCCAACAGAGGTTTGAGAAAAATATTGATTGTTGTTTTAATTTTATAATCAAAGATATGTCAAAGATTCATAAATCAATTAAAAGACGAATTTCCTGGGCATCCTTTTGTTAAAGAAATTAATAATAAAGAACTCGAGTTTGACAAATTGGCCAAAATTTATATGGAGGATATTCTTGTTAAATGAACGAGTGTTTTATAAAAATAATAATTATAATATTTTTCAAACATAGTTAATTTAATATATATTTGATATGACAATAAATATGATTGCTTTTGGAAAAAATTCACAAAAAACACTTACAAAAAATTTCATTTATCTTGGTGGTCAATGATTTTTTTATATCAAACAAACCCCGGAATATTATGGTAGATAAATAATCTTATAAAGTCCAGCCTGGATTTAAAAACATATTTTTTTTGCTATTTTTATAGAAATTTTTTTTTAAAATATATTCTATTTATTTTTAAATTTACATAAAACCTAATTAAAAAAATTATAATTTATAATTAAAAATAAAATTCTATAATTGAATCCCCAAAAAGGAACCATAATTGTGTCTAAAAAATTCTATTTGAATTTTTAGTCGAATAAAAAGGAATTCTCTGGGTTCATTTGTGAAAAGTCTTATTTTATTACCCAGATTTTTTTAAAATATAAATGTTGAAGGCGAAAAATGCCCGTTAGTATAAGTCACTACTGGAGTGAATATGTAGTTTTTAAAATTTTTGTATTTGTTTGTCTTTTTAATTTCTGCCTGTGTTATTAAATTGAAATTTATGTTTGAAGGGAATGTTGATACACACGTGTAGTTTCATATTTTAAATTTAAAAAATAATGCTATAATATAATACGATGATTTTGATTTTTAAATTTTAACATAAATGAAAGAATTAAAAGATAAATTTTGGGTTATTCTTTTTCATATGCCATTAAACCTAAATTTTTTCCTCTATCTTTTTTTGACTCTAAACGATTAGAAGTACAATGTCAAAAATAGAAATACTGAATAACTTAAGTTATACTCAAATATTATGGATGGAAATAAGTAATTATAATATAAGTTGTTGGCATGATTACCTCCTGGTGTTTAAGAGTGGTTCATTCAACTCCACATAAGTAGGAAGTAATCTGCAATATCTATAATATATCTTAAATGTTTAAATAATTAAATCTCGCTAATATTGACTGACAATATTCAAGAAGTTGAGAAGAATTATCATGGGAATTGACGAATTCACTAACGCTGATGTCGAGGAATAAAAAAGGCGGATATTGATTATTTTTTCATTTAATGTTTATTGAGTGAAGTTATAATAAAATAAAATTTTTTTAATTATTTTCTTATTTATTTGATTAATTTGGCTAAATAAAATTTTAATAATTAAAATTTTTCTATTTGATTTTTGGCCACCAAAATTTTTATCGAAATGTCAAATTGGTGGGTGCCTTCCGTGGCTACTGGCATGTGCCCGTCCCAGGTTTTATTAATTTTTATACCCAATGGATTTTTAAAATTATACCATTTTCCAGCACATTCGAATTACATCATCTATATTAATATTTTAGGCAAAAAATATTTTCCAAGCCTCGATATTTTGTCAAAACGGAACATTACAATTGGGATTTGAAATTAAATTTATATTTAAGGATTATATTCTCTGAAAATTTAGTTTAGAATATATATATTGTAATTCAGGATATGAGAGAGAATCATTAATAGTTTATCTTGAATTTATTTTATTATTATAATTATTATTTTATTAACGTCTTTAAGAATAATGTTTTTTTTTATTGTCATGTTCTCGATTTACTTTTTGGCTAATCGTCAACCTTATTTAATCAAGTTGTCTATAAAATATATTTGCTACTTTTCTCGAACTTATTATTTTAATTAATAAAATACTTGTTAATCTTATCGTTACTCTCTACTTCCCTATCGTGGGGTGGGGTGTTAATCAGATTTTTATTAACTCTTAGGATTTGACACTGGCTCTCTTTATAACTCAATCTTCCTGTTGTACTTTTAATCATTGAATAATTACAAAGACCAGGCCCTTGTAGTGCGAACTAATTGAGCGTTTGCAGTATGTTTTTTATAAAAAAAAAGTAAGGCATCCCTTGTCTAAATTCAAGCGTGGTTTTTAATTTTAATATAATTCTGTCATCCCATATCCGTTTATCAATTAATATATCCTTAAATCAATTAATATATGAAATTAATTATATCTAGTGCACTCGACCATTTAAAATGCATAATTTACTTTTGCAACTCTGCGTTTCAACGCTCAATTTGATCGCACTATTATGGCTGGCCAAAGAAGTAGCCTGTTTACGCCCGTCCATTCTGCGGGAACGATCGGGCCAAATGAGCAGAACAGTTTTATTTATTTAATGATATTGCATATTTTAAAAGTAAGTAAATAAATTCAAATAAAACACCAAATCAACAATAAAATAATTTTTAAACATTGGGTGGGCGTGTTAAAAATAAATTGGAGGGCAGATGAATTAAAAAAAACAATGGACGGGTGGGCGAGCTGGTTTACTATTTTAATGTTGGACGGGCGTTCGGATTAAAACCCGCCCATTTCAGACTAGCCAGAACACTATCTCCCTTGATAGTTCTGCTGAACCTAGAATGAAATAAATCTTTCAGCATCCTTTAAAAATTAAATTATTTTTTTCAAAGTATTTCTAAACTAAAATTATACTTTGAATTTTAAGCTGATTATCTTTAATCCAGTTAATCATAATATAATATATTCAAATATTTTATTTCAAACATCTTTCTGGTTAATAAGATAATTAACTAAATTCTTAGAATTGTAAAGCTAAGCATTTTATAAATATAATATATGCTAGTTATAACGAAAACAATGCTGTTCGATTTGTATAATTGGAATAAATTTTATTTGTTCTAAATAATCTGATAAAAAGTGCATCACAATTATTAAGCATTAATATAAATACAATAGTAAGAAGTCAGCATTGAGACCAAATAGAAAAATACACCATTTATTCTGAAAATGTATATACGTTATTTCCGTTAAATCCAACTTGTATTAACGAGCTTTGTGTGTTATATGAGATTGAAATATAAAAACAAATGTGATTATAATGCCAAAACATTTATAGAGTTTTTTTTTTTAAAATTATCATTTTGATTTATTAGAAGCATAAAGATTTTTCTTTAATTTAAAGTTATATTATAAGACACATTGAAATTTTTAGCTGATACAATTGTATATCGTGCGGAATTTATATTCCCTTGTTTGAATTTTATGTTCCATCCCTATTTATTTTTTCCTATATATTATTAAATATTAAAGAAATTTATCACCCCTTTTCTTATAAATTATATTATACTGTGTAGGGGTTGATATAAATTGATCACTTAATTTTCTTAAATATAAAATAAATATATTGATACAATTCGATTTGGTATTTGATTATTTAATCTAAAAATTCATATTAAGCGACCACTTATAAGTTGCAATTTTAAATAATTGTAGTTATTATTTGAGACAGATCCAACTATTCTTTGTGACTTATAGCTATGAAATTCAAAATATTTACTATTTCTACTTGAGAGAACTTTGATCCTTCTGACTGATTTCTTCTCATGATTCTCCATATATTTTCAATTAGATCTGAAATAGCTGTTGGCTATTCTGTAATATTTAATATTGTTAATTGGCTCCAGTCTATAGGAGTTTTAACAAGATAAAGTCTGTTGTTTGATGGAATCTTGGCTTAATATGAATTTATATTTTGTAGAATTTATAATCCAATCTTAAAAGTGTATAGAGGACTTTTGCACTAAGCAACTCTACAACTGGGAATTACATTGTTCTTTAAAGATAAATAAAATTAAAAGCTTATAATTCCGTTAAAGGGATCAATCCTAACACTATACTTTGATTCATCCTAAATATGGCATTATATATCCAATGCTCTATTATCAAATTAATATGATTATTTCATCCAGTTTATTCTTTTTCTCTGAAAAGTTTCAAGTATGGCTTTTTCTCATAAAATTGAAGTATTCTAAGAAGAAAAAATATCATAGAAATGTGTTATCCTATCCTGAAACTTCATTTATAATTATTGAATTAGAATGATGCGACTGATATAGGATAATTTTTCTCAAGATTCATTCTCTGAATGTAGTGATTGGTTATATTATTAATTGCTACTATGTATGATTTCTCTTACAGTCAGGGGATATTAAAACTTTTAGAACATATTTCTTTCAGATACCTTCACATGATGAGGTGTGAAGTTTCACCTGATTTTGCTCTCCCACAGACCATTAGAATGGCAATTCATTCATTCTGCACGTTGGTCTACGACCCATCATTTAAAGAACTCACGTGAATTATGCGAAACATATCCTTGCATAACGCCGTTTTTTTAAAAAGGTAGCTGACACAAAACCTTACCCGAGAGCACAAAAATCCCTTTCTAGATGCTTAATTATATATAAAATGTAATAAAATATAAAAACAAACTTATAATGGAATATTTAGAAACGATATAAGGATGCTTCTTTTTCTTGCAATGACTCACATGGAATTCTTGCAACTATTTTCCAATCATTATAATTCTTTAAAATATGTATTGTCTCGTAACTATATTCTGAATTCAATCGAATCATAATATATTAGCTCAGTTGAAGGAAAATCAGAAAGTAAACTCGCTTACCTGGGTAAACCTGGAAATCGCCATTAAACGGAGAAAAAGAAGAAGAAAAGTATTCTATTTTCTTAACTTAATTGATATCCTTATCAATTTATTCAAAAAGGGGAAAATAATAAAATAAAAACAATTAGAATAGTCTAAAATGGTATAAATGAGAAATTTTAATAATACTCATGAGCGGATTGATTGAAAGCCGTAGATCCACATATACATACTAAAACATTATTTATGGTACAAGATCGATGAATATCAAATATTTTGGTTTCAATGTCGGCATCTACGTTAGGCAATAGTATAGGCAAAGCATATTTTTTTAACATGTTCGCATTGATCCTACCAACTGGTCCTTTATGAGATTTAATTTTGACGTTAGGCCTTGATATAACGCTTATATAAGTAAACCTATATAAAATATTTAGTAGGGTTATAAATTTCTTTTAAACAAAATTGAGAAATCAGTACATACAATATTCCCGAAAAATAACCTTTTACTTAAAATCTACCTATAAAATATTTTTATATTTCTATAATTTACAATATGATAATATGTAAAATGAAATAAATATATACCTATTAGACCAAGTATCTCGTAAATGGTTAAATTGATTATGATAAATGATGTCTTCGGTAGTTTTATTGAAGTCCATGAGTAAAATTTTATCGAAATTAGATCTAAAAGTAAAATCAAATTCATAATTTAAGTTAAAAATTTTTTGAATAAGATAAATAAAGATCCTATCTAAAATCCACCTCAACTAGGGAATGCGTTTTTTTTAAAGCGCCAATTTTATTAGATATAAAAAACATCTGACCCTAGCTCAATTTGAAAGCAAAATTAAACCATATAATAATCAGGCGAATTTGAAATACGTAGAGCTGAAATAAAAAAAAACCTAAAAATGATGATTATTAGTCTTACATGGCACTTCTGCGGTAATATTAATAAAATATAGGTCTGGCCCGCACCCAGAAAAATATTATATTTCCTTCCTATTTTTACTTTAGCTTGATAATATCAAAATTATAAATTGAATTTAAAAAATAAAAAATTGTCTTAAAAAAATTAGGAAATGGGAAATATTTACTATTCATTTTCATACCATTTTTTGTAATAAATAATAAAATAGATAAACATAATTAAACTAAGTTATTAGTAAATATTTAAATTTATTGCATAACATAAAATTAAATAAAACAAATATTTTGAGTTTGACATTTCTTCCCTATATGTTTTTTTTTAAATTCGGGCTGCAACGGGCCCAATATAGATCATTTTGCCCACTGGACAGAGGACAGGCTAGGATAAAAATATATTTTGCAGGTCTTTAGTGGCAATTGCCTCATAGGCGAAAACCAGCATATGACGGTAGATGAATTACTTCAAATACAAAGGTAAAATCATGAGCAACTGCCTTACCAAGTCAGCATAACCTAACCAGTATTCAGCAAGCTATCAACGCCATATCCGCCAGACTAGCCACTCTAAAATTCAAGACAGATATCCAAAGCTAGCTTAGCCCGGAATGTCTACTGAAGAAAGATAGTAGATCGTTCATGGGAAGAGTAGCATTCACACCAGCCCACAAAGCACCCACGCCACTAATGATTTCCATGTCTCTTCCGGTCCTGAAAGTTTAGGGGAAAAAATATATTCGATGTTATCGAAGAAGCCTCAGGACCGTAAAGAGATGAAATCATTGATCGTCTGAAAAATGTGACCGGAACGTGACGTCGATATAATAGTTGCAGTGATTGAAAGAATTCTCATAACAATCCATTATAGGTGGTCAAGTTCGGTGGCAAATGCCTCCCCATTTGTCTTTAAACTAGCTTGGATCAGACATAACCGACATGCCTTTGGAGATGCCTGTCGTCCCTATATTTCTTCGGCTTAAGGGAAAAGCTAGAATAAATCGGCCCTTTTGTGATGTATAATTATTCCCCCGCCAACACCAATGACCATTTTTAGGGCCATTTACTATAACCGAATGGTGCCAGCTGTCGTAATGGCCAAATGTCAACAATCAACTTATTACTTTTCCCCCTAATTCTCCGTCATCATCCTCTTGTAGGCGCCGCTAATTGCTGTTATGAGTGCAGTCCCTTATAGATCTTTTTTCCGAAAAATCTAGGGACTCCGGAATGGCTTTCGGATATATGCTCTGCACCGGCCTCCTTTTCTGTCAATTCAAATTTACGGCTATCAGACAAGGGTTGTAAATAATGTTTATTTATTACTACAATATTAATATTTTATTTCAAGTTTTTTTATTTTCATAATCTTTAAATTTAATTTTAAAATAAAATAAATTTAACAATATAAATAGTAGACAATTAATCATTCATGAACAATGAACATTCCGTCATTGAAATAAAAATTGGCTGTATTGAATCCTGTAAAGAAGATATGATAGAGAGTTAGTGCATGCTCATGATGTTGATGTTAGAAGTAAAATAACAACACTTTCTGTTTGAGCATTTATCATTCTTACACAGTTTGTATTATGATCCTTTAATCTGCTGCTATTTGAGGAAGAAATATGCTATCAGCAAAATTCACATTTATAAATTCCAATATTTTCCCTTTTCTCCACCAATAAAAAGTTGAATACATTATGAGATTTGTATCGCGGAATATTTTAATTTAAAGAGTAAAAGAAATTCTATTGTTTATTGAACATTCTCATTCGATCCAAGAAATATTTTTGCATGTTCTAAGTGTTTTTATAATATAAAATAATAGCTAGATTTAAAATAAAATTCCATTGCCGTTAGATTGTTTTTATTTTAAATTTTTTGTTGTTTTTTTAAATATATTTTTTTTCTGTTTTTATTATTGAAAAAAACATATTTTTGTTTTGTTTTGATTTTTTCCGTCCCTATGTCAGACTCAAACTTTGCTTATCATGACTTCTATCCTGTTTAAGATTCTGGTAGGCCCCAGAAATATGTCTTCAATTGTATTATCAACCCGAGACATGCGAACTTTAACTTCTAAATTTTCCACCGCTTAATATAGTTTTGATTAACCTAGAAAAACGTGTCTATTCAATTCGCTCTCACTAGAGTCGTTGCGAAAGAGGGATAGATAAAAATTTGATCCCAAAGATGGTTGAAAAAATGACGAAATGCACTGAAAGTGACAACAATGACTGCATCTGCCCTCTACCATAGTAATTAAAAGGCAGAAAGATCTAGAATAATTAGTTTTTTTCATCAGTAATCAGGAACTTTCTATAACATCCGTTTGAGCTAAAGTAGGTCCTCTCCCTTTAAGAAAAATAATTGAATATCTATGCGTGAAAGATTCACCTTAAGTCCTTCTTTTCAATCCCATTGCCCCATAAGCAAGTAAAATATTCGGATTCAAATTTTTCCAGTAGGTGTTTTCTCTAAGGCTTATAGTTTTCAGAGGATTCCTTAACTCGTCGACATAAGCTATGAAATGGGTTTCATACATTGTATATTTTGACGTTCTGATCTACAATAACCCAGGTTGCATAAAATAGTTCACATATGTCTAAACTACACACTGAAAGTGTAATTTGCTAATCTCTTTATTATGTGGCGCTTTAACGCTTTATTTCTGAAAAAAAAACCTACATGGCCTCCAGAAAGCCGACGACTTCATTAAGTCAGCACTATAACGTCCGCTACCCATATATGTTATATAGCTATACTCATCCATTCAATCATTATCGTCAATTAAAATGTCTTTCGTAAAAATTCGTTGTAAAGTTAAATTTACTTTTGTTTTAATTTATATTACTTTATCTATGTTCAAATATTTTTTCAAATTTTATAAATATTTATATTCAATTAATAAATTTGCATCATATAAAATAATTTCAAAACTAAACTTAGAGATATTTTTTGTGGAAATGTCTTTTGAAATGTTAGGATCAACTGGCGCTGCATTATTATCATTATAAATCCTATTAAGGATCCCCAATATAGGTGTAATTCCTGTTCCCGCCCCAATCAACAATAATTTTTGAAGGTTTTTTAGTAAGAGGCTTTCATTGAAATCTCCCACGAAATCGCTTATCCAAACCGGATCACCTTAATCGTAAATAAAATAATTTTTTAAAGGTTATATATAAAGGAATGTATAGTGATGTAAAATTCTCGGGAATTTAAGTATTGGAATCTCCGGGAAAAATAGCGGTAGCGGGAAAACAAGGAAAATTAAGAAGTTAAAAAAATATTTTATTTATATATAATAAAATTAATATATAAACAATAAAAGTCCAAATAGAAATAATGTATATTATAAAATAGTAATATAAGATAAAATGGTTTAAAATAATCCCCAGAAACATTCACTAGAAGATATAGATCGCTTCATTGGTTGTTGCCATTTTATTGGATTCTGGGAGAATATCATGTAGATATTGATTATAAAGGATTGAAACCAATTTTTTCATGATTTAGTCGATTTCACATCTTTGATTGTATTTTTCCAAAAGCAGACCTTCTTTATGAGACTGCCCTGGATGGGGGGGATTACAAATTTGTAATGGATAAATAAGTCTAATAACATATTTTTATAGTCAACTTATAGGGATCACATCCATAAATATAAGAAATAACAAATTAGCATATTTAAGCCGTAATAAATAAAAAAAGGAACACTGAAAAAATGTTGAATTCACTTTTTATCTATTTCTAAAATATATTTATAATATATAACGATTGGAAAGTGGCAAAAACTGATAAAAATATTTTACAATATAGCGAAATTACAAATTATATAACAGAGGAAATAACGTATAGTAAAATTAAGTGATTGTATCCAATTCCATTATTATAAAAATAGTAATCATGAGTCATTCGTTTGTGACTATTATAGATTTTTTTTTGATAATGATAAAACATTAGATCCATAGATGTACATGTGATACCAAAATGGATGGGGGAAATAAAGGGACTATATATAAAGACAGATAGAATTGATTAGGATAGCTTGCCATATGTGGAAAGACAATGGAAACTTTTCTAGAAATTTACCAAAGATATTGAATGTAAGTAAAAATATAATACTTTATTATTGAAACAATATAACAAGCACATAGGAGGCGCCTATTTTTGATAAAATCATTGATTTGATAAATGTTACACCACCAAGTTCAGTAGATGATACCCTGAGAATTTTCCAACATAAGTTGTGAATGTAGTAAATTAATGGTTATCCGATGGGTATATTCAGGACAAGATGGGTAGATCGAACATGGGAGTTAAGCCTACCATAATATCCTAAAATAAACCCACACCATTATACGATATAGCTTATCTATCACATACATTATGGAAGTCAGGCTTACCACAATATCCTAAAAATAAACCCATTCCACCTAATGTTGTTAAACGGCTCGTTTTGAGCCGATTTTTAAAACGGCTAACTCAATATTTTCGCCAGAAAAATATTGACTAAGCCTCGAAATTTCGATACAATATGTCTAGACCTTTGCTCCTTCCATGAACAAAATTTTCAGGCTTGCGTAATATTTTTCTGGATAAAATATTGTGTTCGCCGTTTTTAAAAATCGGCCCAAAACGAGCCGTTTAACAACACTCCATCATTATATGATGTAGCTTATCTGTCACATATATTATGGCCAAAATATAAAAAGAGATAAATTATTTATTTCAGAGAGATTCACAAAAAAATATTTCATATAGTAAAGGGTATGAAATAAAATATTAGAGCTCTTATGTTGACCTAAATTTTGTAATCCCGCAGATATTATAATAAATATATAAAAAGACGGGTTTAGACCCCGAGAAGTTAAGAAATATAGGGCCGGCACATGATGAAAAAATTGTTTAAGCACGAAAAAGATGTACTCTAAAATAAATTCAAAATTGTTATTATAATTATACTATAAGACAGACATAATAGTGCAAACAAGAAAATAGAAAAAAAAGATTATTTCTAATATTATAAAATAACATTTTTAAAAAACCTATTTTTATTTTTTGGTCTAGCGTTTGAGTGAACACTCCATCGGCATATATTTTGATGATAAAGTTTAATGAGTTATTGTAAAAGGGGATGATATCGGCCAGAGGAGAAAAAACAGAGTCCCTGGATAAAATTAAGGATGTTGGCACGGGAGTGTACGGTTTGACTAGATCTAAATATATATTTATAGAGAATTTTAATAACTTATTGTGTAACGATCAAATTATCTTATTATACTTTATCTATCAATCTCTTATCATTTGTGATATGGTGTAAATATTAGTTTACGCTTATGTATCATGTATGTTTAATATCGTATTAAGTATCCTAAGGATATAACAAGGTTGTTATGTTAAAAATCCTATTAAAACGCAATTCCAATTTTCTTTCAAAAATAGAATCATAAGATCGAATTTTTCACAAATATATAAAATAAGAACTGTCGACATTATTCAAAAAATTACATTGTTACATTTCGCATTAAAAAAAATAGTAACGTCATTAGGTTTACGTTATATATTCGGAAAAATAGCACTATTTGTTAATTTATAAAAAAAGTAACGCCGTTACTTTTTTAAGGTTTGTTTTCCTTTTATTTCAACAATTGATATATTTATTACAAAAATCCAAAAAATATGTAAATTGTCTATAAATATATTTTTTAGCAAATTTATGAAGGTTGTTTTTCTAAGTTTTTAAGATCGTTTACCTTTAAGCACCACTTTTTGCTGCACTAAACACCCATTCAATAAGATGATAAAGATGTATTATATTTTATAAACGTGGTTATGATGTTTGGAAATTGTTAAGGTTTTCTTTTATAAAAATGTATCTTTTATATAGATAGGTCATCATCCTAGTAAAAAAGTGATCTCTTGTAAACATCTTCGCTATGAGTTGTATCCGGGTTCGCCAAGTTCATATACACTTAATTTGGGAGGCCATGGGTAGATATGGCAAAGAGGCCCCGATATATTTTTAAATTTCATTCTTAGTATTCTTGCCGATTAATTTATATTTTAAATTACAGTATTTATAAAATCTCTTAAAATTATTTTTTTTATAAATTAAAAATTTTCGCAAATAAAATTAAATGGTAAAAATAAAAAAATTTGTTCAATTCTACAATTGCTATCTGTGAGCATAAGTGTATTTTGTATACTACAAAAATAATAAACATCTATAATCATTATTTTTTTTAAAATAATTTTTGTCATAAAGCCTAGCTACTATCGGAGGAATGAGAAGAATATCGTATTATTAATCATTCAATGCGACCCAGTGAATGTTGACATTTTCTTTCTCATATTGTATACTTATCACTGCACTGATAAAAATATAAATTTAATTGAATAAAATGTGTTCACTGGATATTTTTTTAAGTTAATTTCTCAAATTTGACTGGAAATCCTCTTTTGCCATTCCAAACCCCTTTGATGCAGTATTGATCTTGAAATATAGTAACTTTCATAATTTTTTAATTTTCATTTAGGTTGCGCAAAATTTTATAACCATCCAAAATGAAAAGGAAATTTCAGATATATGGAACCGATTAAGGTATAAATATAAGAATTGTATTTTTATTATGAATTATATACAATGAGTTTTGTGCCAATTTTTAATATTCTCAACTTCGTAGGTTGGATCTTTATTATGTCTATGATTTATGAATTTTGTGCCAATTTTTAATATTCTCAACTTTGTGAGATTACTAATAATTAAAAAAGACTTGACAAAGTTTCACTAAAAGCCTCAACCGAACTTCTTAGCTAGTCCTTAAAAATTAGTTAGAATGAAAATCATAAACTGATTACATTTTTTGGAATAGTAGAGGCAAAATGTCATTTAAATATAAAATTATAACAGTAGTGTGAGTATCCCCAATAAACTTAAAAATACTATATTAAGAATTTAGGCAGCGAATTTAACCAATATTAAATATTAAATTGAACAGATAATATTGCAATAAAATCCTGATATTAAAAACTGGTACTATAGTCTTCAAATAATACATATTCATTTGCAAAACTATCCGATGAGAAATTCGTGATTCTGAATGAATACAGGTCAATATCATTTAGCAATTAGACGATTGAAAAATTTAATTCGCATGAAGAAAAATCCCAAATTATCTAGGGTCTGAGAATGGACTAGACACAATTGATATTCAAGAATTTTTAAATTCAAACTAAGAAATTAAATTAGTATCACATTCCCAATATTCTATAACTTTTAAAATAAAATATGAGTTATTCAACAATAACTATAACTATATTGTGGAAGCGCAAATATATGATTAAAAGAATATAATCTGGGAAGTTTAAAGGTAGTACATTAAAACAAAGATAATGGTAAATGACTTAGATTGTATGGACATACGATGAGAAGGCCTATAAAATAAATAGAAAAGGAATAAAACTCCAAAGGGCCCACAAAGTTAAAGACAGTATCATTAAATATAAATTGAATAAAAAGCCTGAAAAGGTGAAAGATAAAAATCAGCAATTATTTATAAAAAAAATGCCTAAAATATAAATATAAAATTTGAAAATATAAAAATAAAAATATCTAACTCGGCTTATTTTGATCCAATTTTATGAATGTGTGAAAACCCAAGGGCGTTTTCATAGATATATCGGGAGGTAGGGCGAATATAAATGAATAGGTATCGAATGTTAAACGTTCTTTTTCCACTAATGTGCACTTGTGATATTGCATGTGCACTTTATTAATTTTTTTTTAAAAAAATGTAAACATAATATAACAATAATATAGATATAAACAGGGTTGGCGAATTGGTCAATTGACTTAAGGAGTATCTGACCTGGTCAAATACTCTAAATATTGGTATAAATATATTGATTTAATTAACTAATATGTATTTAAAGCATGTTTATCAATCCAATTAGGTTATAATTTATTTTAAGTTATATATCCAATTAGGTTACAATTTATTTTAAATTATATTTGCATCAAGACATCGATTTAATTATAATTTTATATTAAAATATAAGAATTTCATATTAAAATATAAAAATAAAATAATTTTTCTCATTATAAATTTGATTGGATCTCTATATATAAATAAATATAATAATTTTTCTAAAGTATGATTTAGGAAAATTACTAATTGTCAATTTATATTACATTATTTACAATTATCCAAACAAGATGGGCATCGTCAATAAAATGCAAGGACAAATACAAATATGCAGAAAGCTCTGAAAGCAGCTGTTAAAGAAGTTGGATAGTTGTCCAAAAGAAATTACCGATAATATATGAAATGAAAATATATTTTGGACGAAAAATTTAAACTATGATTAAACATTTAGCTGTCTTATTGTTGTAGGTGCAAAGGGATAAATGTACTCTAGCCAAAGTAAAAAACGAGATGTCTAATTTGGAAAACACATAATCAATCAGGCCATGATTTTTTTATCTCCACCTAAAGATAAAAAAATTAAAGATATGTTTGAAAAAGAAAAAAAACAATCCAAATGATGCACTCACACTTCTGATTATTTATTGAATCCCCAATATAAGGGAATCATCTTATTAGTAGTGAGTTTGATGGAGCATGTGATATAAAAAAAGAATTAGGCATTTTAGAAAGTTATGATAATCAAAATATTTAAAGTGATATCATATTCAGAATTAAAAGTGGCGGTATTAATAGCAAATTCAAAAATTGTTAGAATGGGCTTTGCTTACCTTGAACATAAGAGAAATGTCGAATATCTTACTAACAATTCCTAGTTATACTTCTTTTTTAGAAAGAAATTGGTGGTTTGGGGTAATAATCATACGAAGAAAAGAAATCGTTTAATGATATTGACAACTAAAAAATTGGCAAGAGTATAACCTATGATTGGTTAAAAATATTAAATAAGGATAATATTGAAAATAAATTAGAAAAAAAAACATTTATTTGAATTTGACCATATTTTACAGGTCAAATGCACTGGATATAAATGTTATTGTTGGTATTAAAATATATTTTTTTTAACTGGACTCAGGCCTAAATAAAATAGAATTTGCAGGTCTCTACTATGTACATAGCATGACAATTTTTAACTCCGATTATGTTATGCTAGATAAAAATTATGATATAATATATTTTTTAAATTTTAATATATGACTTGTTATATTTAATGCGATTAAATTTCAGATTAAAATTTTTTTAATATATATATATTTTAAAAAATAAAATAATGGCCCAATAACATAAACATATAAACATTTATATAAAGAATTTAATTTTTTAGATTATTTAGCAAAAAAAAATTGAAAATAATTGTAAAAAATAATTCACGTGTAGATAGATATCAATGAAGGGGGGTAGAATATACATAATAAAAAAGAAGTTTTATAACTTGTGTAATCAAGAGCTGGATAAATAAAATCATTGTTTATCAAAGGCCGATAACGATGCGAAGAATTATTAGAATTAGAATTTGTAACTAATAAATTCGGATTCGAATAATTGGCTGAAAATAAAACAAAATATCAAATTTAAATATTTTTTAAGCCAAGAACATGAATTATTTTATCGTGTTTTAAAATTTATTGTTACCAGTTGATAAAAATAAATATTAATTAAATATACCTATCGTCTTCTCTTTACCCATAAGGTAATATATGTCTATTTCCACTGAGCCTATATCAATATTATCCCATTTAACTAATTTTATAAAACTGATAATTTATCATAACAATTAGAGTTAATTATACTTTTGCAATAATTTTTAGTGGGAGGTAGGAACTCTATTATTTTATTTTTAATAAAAATTATTATATTAAAGAACGTTTACTAGTAGTGTTGTTAAATAGCTCAATTCAGCCAATTTTAAATTAAGATTTTAATCAAAATAATATTAAGCAAGGCTCGAGATTTCGTTAATAGATGTCCAAATCTTTCTGTCATCTATGAGTAAAATCTCCAGAATTGCGTAATATTTTTGGTTAAAATATGGGGTTAGACGTTTTTAAAAATCGAGCCGTTTAACAATATCATTTACTTGAGATTTTTATGAATATTACTTATATTATAATCCCATTTCTGAATATTAACTCAAATGCTTAAAAGCATAATCTACCATGTAGAACTAATCAAAACTCTATAACAATTTGAGATTCAATTTTAAAGTCTTCAACTGTTTTTAAGGTTTAAATTTAAATTCAAATGGTTTAGTGGTTCCAAATCGATTTTGGTGAATCGGAAGGATCGTTTAACAGTGGTTAGATAACATGATGAGAATCAGTCATCGATTATATTTGAAATAGGCCACAAAATCAAGAGACAGTCTAATTAATAGAATTCTAAGTAAGATGTTGTGAAAAGAACCCTCATATATAAAAAAACCAAACTCTAGTGATATACTGATGTCTTCCGAAATAGGTAACAAATAATTTTTTAAAAACAATCGTAAATGGCTATTTATCTAATAAAAAAATTTTATTAAATTTATTAAAGCGTTTATCTAAAAATGGTTTTAGATTTACATCCAAAGCTTGAACCAGACAAGTCGTTACTATATATTTTTGAAAAAAGAAACGTGAAAGCCTATAATAGAGTTTGAACAAATTATCGTTTTATATTAATTGTCTCAACCATATATTTATTAAAATCATCATTAAATGTTCTATAAAAAGTGGAAATATAATATTAAAAAAAACAAACCTAAATGTAGCATATATCTTAAATCGGTAAAATAGGCCAAAAATTGGATGGAATTCGATTTTAAACGAGCGACAAAACCTTTTTGAATTTTAATTGAGTATTTCGCTGATTTAATAACTAAGGCTAATGTATCGACCTGATTATGTAATGAGTATTTTCTCCGATCTTTTTCATACGAGGAAAATGAGCTAAATATGAATTTTAAAAAAATAATTAGAATATTAAAATTTAGAGCAAATAAAAATATGATAAAGATTTCAGTTTTAAGAAAAATAACCTTATAAATTATAACTATAGTATAGTAGTTTTTTAAAATAATAAAATTTTTAATGCTTTATTATAATAAACCTCGAACAGTATTATAATAAATTGATTTCTTCAAAATTTTAAACCAATTATATATAACTCTTCTAAACGATTCTCACAAAATGGGTCATATATATAATAATAAATCTTTTAATATATTGTAAATAAGTAATTAAATTAGTCTATATTATATTTCTTTACATCAATTTAGAAATGTTGGAGTCTTTAAAATGATTAGATACGTCAGCTATTTCTGTTAATATTGAAAACGACGCAGATTCTAAAATTTTTTTATTATATCTGAGCATAGAATATAAAATGTAGTGGAAAAATTTAAAATATCAAATTTGTAGTTTTAAGAGGCATTAGAGAGGCAATCACCTGCAAGCTTAAAAATTTACATATTGATAATACGTGATATAAGTGTATATGTCCTCTAGTGTTGTGCATACAACAGAGCTATGCTAGGTATTTCTCATTTCCATCAAACTGGATATAAAAATTTGAGGAAACTATATGAAGAATTAAAGAGATTGAACCAACTAAGAAACTACACCCACGAACTACAGAATTATTTAATTAATTCATAGGGAGGTGGGACTAATTTAATTTTAAATTACCATATTTCTATGGCTGAGGAGTAAAGTCACTCTATTTAAAAGAGCGAATATCCTGACATCATGAGGAGAAAATTTTTGGTGTAGATATTTGTTGTGATTACAATATATTTAATTTATAAATGTTAATATAGCAATTAACTAACCATACCAAATTCGAAAGTGATAAAAGAAAATCCGACAAAATTTAACGATTACAGAGCCGTAGCTCTCACTTAAATCGCTTCAACAGTATTTATGGGACTGTTAAAAATCCGCATAGTATCCATCACGCTCACCTTATTTAAATACTCATGCGCACATAAAGCAGGAAAAAATATTTCAAAGTCGATCTTAGCGTTAAAAATAATAATACAAAAGTGCAATACAAACTACCCTTCTTCTGCACATTTGTTGACTTCAAAACATAAAATATTGTACCCTATGGGTAATATTGCAGAGTGTAGCATCAAAATGAATATCATACGCATCCAAAAACATCATTACTAATCTTTAGGCCTGCTTTAAATAAATAACAAAATTTCCCTCTCTTTCTGAATTAAGGAAGGAGTGTGCTGTTTAATTTTGTAATAAATAAGGTGATAAAAGATACTTTAGGTACAGATAATGTAATGGAATTAATGTCGAATGATTTCGATAAATTTTATCTAAAACACAGAATCATTTCTTATGCTGAAGATATTGTAATAGTAATGAAAAATTTTAAAGAAACACAAAACCTTGTTTAATATACTTAAATTCATTAATCGCAGTTAGCATTGACATAAATTTCAACAAAACCGCATTTTATCTCAATACAGAGCTTTAGTAGACTACCAAATGCTTAATACCATAGATAAAAGAGGCAGCTGCAGATAAAAGCTAAATACAAAATGAATGCAAGGAGAGCCTTCTACAAAGATTTTAAACATGGAAAACGAGGGAGATCTTCGTATTCACTAGATTGTAAATTTTCAATTCCACCATCATTCCCATTTTACTATTCGGTGGAGATATACGGGAGTTAAATAAAAAGGAGAACAGATGGTTACTGTCCTTCATAAAATTGTCTCAGAATAACGGTATCTCTTACCCGAGAATCATTTTAACGATAGATCATAGAAAATATCTAAGCATTCTCCAATACATGTGACACTAGAAAAATATGTATCAAATTTTAGCTTATATAATAAGAAATTCTTATCACGATTTGGTTCATGATTTAAAATTAATGGGAAAGCATATAGCAAATATAAGATATTGTGGTTGTATAAAACGATAAAAGATATAATTGAATCTCAAAAATATGAAAGAACAGTTAAATATTAAAAAATTATTTAAAATTAAATCTGAATATCCCAAATGAATTCCATAACCGTCTTCTATTTTACAAATTATATACACCATAAACTTTCTCAACATGACGTCAGGATATTCGCCGTTTCAATATTTGTAGGTGCTTGCGGTTTGTCGACTAGCGTGATAGTTTTTAAAATTTTATATCCAGTTTTAAGGTTTTCCTAAATCAATCAATATCATTCTCTTAACTTTTTTTAAAATCGTCAATTTTTTTTTATTTAGCAGAGTTATTAAAAGATACTTTTTAAATGGAACTAGATATAGATACATCGTCTGAAAAGTTGTCTAGATATAGATACAATTTTAAAAATGTAACTAGATTAAGAAATAATTTTCATTATACTCTTATACAAGGTTTGCATAAACCTAATCTATATGCTTAAAAGTTGCAAGTTGAGGTAATACTAACTGAAATTTTCGTATTTTTTGGTAGGCAAACATTTTACTATCAGAGATTTGTTTTCTTTATTTTGAGATATTATTTTATAAAATATGCTCTATTAATTGGCCATGGAAAACATATCTAAACTTGTTGATGCTTCATTGATTACTCTTCATCACTATTAATATTAATCTAAAATAAATTTTTAAAATTAGTATAATAAAATAAAATTAACCAATTCCATTGAAAATAAAAATGGCAGATTCCTTGAGATGGATTGTAATAGTGTTTGCAACAGTCCGGTCTGGTTTCTTTTAAATGAGACCGGACCGATAGACCGTTAAGTCAAATGAGACCGTCCGTCCAGTCCGGTCCCGTCTAAAAAATGTTTTTTAAGTTATAAAAGTTTTATTCTGCATGAAATTTATTAAAAATGAAATGTGTTAAATTACCAATATTTTAATTATATCATCAAATCATTTTTATTATATTATTTATAAAAAAGATTAAACCAATACAAATTTATTGAATAAAATTTAAATCAATTTGATTAGCATATTTAATTAGTTTTTATTTTTGAATGTGATAAATATTTGGTTATAAAATAAAACTGATTTATAAATAAATATTCTAATTATCTTCTAAAATATCAAAATTTATTCCATTTTTTACCCATCCAATACCAATACAATATTTCGTTAATCTTGGGCTTTTATTGTTTCCAGCCCTAATCATAACTATAAATAAATTAATCTGATAAAGTTTTTGTTCATTTATTTAAAATTTTGATCTCTCAATTTGATATATATAAGCATAATTTACTTGTGCTTAAAGAATTGGAAATATCTGAAGACATATTTTACATGTTTTGCCAGAATTGTCCTTTCAAAAATTTTATATAATTATTTGGCATTTGAATTCTAATACTATTTTCTAAATCAATAGTTATTCTTTGGCTGAGGGTGGTGATTAAATAATATTATCATCTTCTATAATTTCAATTTTCATTTCTAATAAATTAAATTACTTGACTGAATGAATCGGAAGAATATAAAAGATGAATGAGATATTATATAGTGTTAGGCATTAAATAATCATGTTTTAAGAGCTCATGAACTTGTACATTAAATAAAAAGCAATTCATAGTAAACTTTTATCTTTTTTAATCGTTCTTAGATCGGACCGTGTTGTCAGACCGGACCATCAATCTAGATACAGATACCACATTTTTATATCTAGATAGTATCTAGATACTTTAACAACTCTGTTATTTAGTATCTAATATATATTGCAAAAGAGGAGTAAATTAATGAATGGATAAAAAATATAATTAAGCAATATCATAAAAATCTAACTGATAGCGTTATTGTTGACTGGCAAATTTTGAATAGCAGGTATGACTATTTCGGGTATTGACAAAGTATTAAAGGGTATTTTCTTGAGAGGAGCTATGTAGCATTTGGCCAATAATTTCGGATAGTTTACCCATTTATGTATCTAATTTTTATATTTAAAAATGGAGTGGGTAAATTAGATGACCTTCTGAAAAAGTAGACATATCATGGACATGGTGTGTCCATAATAAATTACTTTTTTTGGTTTATAGACTATTTATTTAACAATTTAAAATAAATATACAATTTAGAATCAACTCACTGACCAAAGAAAGACTATGTTGGGAATTTCCCAAATTTGGGTTCGAAATCGACCTCTAGAACGTTTTTTTAGTTTAAGAAGTTTATATTTAGAGAAGGCCTATTTAAAAACATCGAATATTGGAATCGAATGGCAACGAATATAAATTTTCGTTTTTTTCAAATGAGAATAATATAATCTTCGATTCGAATAAAAAGAATGACAAGAAAATTCAACGATAATTTGTTTATTCGATAAGTAATTCGAATAAACTGTTTTATTCGAATATTCTGAATAATTAATAATATGTATATAATAATTTAATCATTTGTTTGATGTGATTAACAAGGTTATGAATCAACTGCTTAGTTTGACTTGGAACTAATTTGCTATCAAAAAATCGCATGTCTTATGAAGAAGAAACAGTAAGAAAAATATGTTTTATTTTATAATAATTTTAAAACCAATTATTCGAATCAAATACAAACTATTAGGTTTGTATTTGTTTTTGAATGGGCATTTTAGACACAAATTTTGAAAATAGCTCACTGTTAAGGATAAATAAAAATATGTACCCTGTATCCAGGATAAAATGGCTAAAATGAGTAGTATGAAATAACTAATCATAGTTCCTAAAGTAATTTTGTAGGTGTGGGATTGTGGTATATATTGGCCTATAACTTGTTGTTTTGTTTTACATGTTTATGATAAATATGCAAAAAACCAATCATTTTCCCTTGGTCTCCTATACTTTACCTAAAAATATTAAACTATTAAAAGATCCAGAAAAAAATATAGAAAGAATTTTAAGTAATAAAGTTTAAAAAATAACTGGAGTCTGCATAGACCTACTTGCGCTATGAAAGTTAAAGTAATAATTATTCAATATCGCAAAAATTCTACCTAATAAATAATTAATGCACTAGCACAATAAATTATTTTTTTGCCAAATTATCGATTTTTAGAATTAGATTGAGATTATTAAAAACATTGCATAAATAAGATATGAAGCCAAATGGTTAATATAATATGTATTACACAAAATATATACCTGTCTCAACTTCTAACGTAAATAAAATTAATTAAAAATATATAAGCAGTAAAAAATAAACTTCGGGTTATGATCATAACTAGAATAGAAAATTTTAATTAGAGATGAAAATGTTCCATTTCGTTTCTTATGGTAGTATGGAAAGAGTAAAGGTCAATTTAAAATAAATATACTTGGTAATTCAAAAATGTTTGAAACACAATTTAAAATAAATTTATTAAATAATACCTCCATGAATAATGTTGTGGCGTCTTTTCCAGCTCCTTTCATTAACTCCTCTATACCTCCGGGATGGTATTCGAGATAAGGCGTCATGTTAAATACATTGTCTTTATATAGAAAATTAGTAGCCAAATTAGAAATCTGCAAAAGTAGGCCCCACGGCCAACCCTAATATTTTTAAATAAAATTCGGGTAGGGCCTTGGAATTTTTTATAAATATATTTAAATTTATCAGTTTTATATTGAATTTTTTATGTAAAATAAAAATATTTGATTTTATTTATATAACTAGAAACAATATAACATATGCCTTTTATTTTGAGTAATTATAAAAATTAATTTCTATATTTAAATAAGTTCTGGCCTGTCCGGTAAATTTTCTTAAAAAAAATTTGGGATTCGGGCCAGGCAGGCAAAACTTTTTTTAAAAATTTTCGGGCTTGAAAAATTAGGCCCGATGTAGATCACTAAGCCAAATATCGAAATGAAATTCAAAAATAGTATTTATTTTGAAAATCATATTGCAAATAATAGAAAATAACAAAATGATATATAATTTTGCAAATATATTTATGATTTTAAAAGGGGTTATATAAAATTAAGCTTATTAAATGAGAGAGAAGGGCAAACATCTCGTCTAGAATAGAAGGACATATCTCTTCCAAATTAAGCCTCCTAAGAACGGAAGGGACAGTAAGGCAATTTTAAAATATAATTATTTTTAAAAAATGACTAATAAAATACATTTACTTTTCTATGCAAGGTGATATATATAAGTAAGACCCTCCCTCCTAACAAATATTCGATATTCGAATCAGACTCGATCCATATTAAATATTTTAGATATAATAAAAAGTATCGAATAATTTTTTTTATTAATTTAATCGTCAACTATTCGTATCCGAATAATAATTTTAATATTAGCGAATATTATTTGAATAATAATAATATTTAATATTTTCATATATATGTAGTATTAAGATATGGAATTCACGGGATTTTGAATATCTCAATTTTAAATCGTTTACTGAGAACGATTTTTAAATATGAAAAATCTGATTTAACCAAATATGTATTTCAAGATGTATAGAGTGCACACACTACGAATTTCAGACAATTTTGCCTAGAACTATTGGAATACTTTCATTTTATATCCTTTTTTATATAGATTTTCATATTAATTTACAAAAAATACACAAAAATTGCATGGAGAAAATTCTAAAATTTATAGATTATATAGTCTAGACATGCTGGAATATATTTCCGTTGAGATAGAATTTTTCAAATTTAAAAATTGCCTTCAGTAATTGATATAAAATTATGAGATTCCAAATCTCTGTGGATTCCGTACCCCAATATGACATATATATTAAGTTTATACTATAGTTAATTAAATTTTTAATCCACATGTCTTAGAATACTTATTGCCTTGATAATTTTGAAAATATATTCCTTTCTCAGCCACTCGAACAAAACTACTCAGGTAGCATAAGCATAATTCATCTGAAATAAGGTTTAAGATAGGAAATGTTTATTTCATGCAAACCTTAATTAAACATCATATTTAAAACTTTGCTATCTTTGATAGCATATTGTCCTCATCTTGCATTAATGCCCAGCACATATTTTTCTAAAGATCTGTGAAAATTTTTATTTATAATAAATATAATGGAGATGGATGGTAATGGGTAGGAATTATTATTTTGTGGCATGCCTCTTTTCTAACAAAATGTTTAATGCTTTTATGACATTTACTTAGAGGTTTGTATCAGGTGGGTTTAAAAAATTTAAACATTTGGCAGTGGATGGGTTAAAAATATTTCTAAAATAATGGGTAAATAGGTGGATGAAGTTAAATTATTTCTTGGGTTTAGCAAATAATGGGTTATATTTATTAAAATATTATTTTTATTCGTAATATCGCATATTTTATAAGTTGTAAAAATATATTTAAATCTAAAAAAAAAACCAAACCAACCCAACCCAAGGTTGGGCAGTATTGCTAACTTATATTTAAAATACTAAACAATTTTTTAAATTTACATATAAATGAATAACTTATGTTATTTAGTATTTGTATTTTAAATACCAAAAAATAAAAAGAGTTTTATATATTAAAAGTAGTGTTGTTAAATGGCTCGTTTTGAGCCGAATTTTAAGAACGGTTAACTCAATATTTTATCCAGAAAAATATTATGCAAGTCTTAAGATTTTGCCCATAGATTGCACAAAGGTTTGAACACCTATTAACGAGATCTCGAGGCTTAGGCAATATTTTTCTGGCTAATATTTTTAATTAGCCATTTCTAGCTCAAATCAAGTCATTTAACAACACTAATTAAAAGACTTCAAATAAGTACAATTTAGCTTTTATTATATTATAAAATGAAAAATCCATATTTATTTCTTTAAATATTAATTTTTTAATCCAAGTTAGAGAAATAAATCAAATCTGTTTTAACAGATTTTATTAAAATAAACAACATTGATACTAAAAATGAAACTGAATAAATATTTTTTTTTGAATAAAATGATATAGAACTAGAAGGATTCCAGTTCTACTGAGAAAAGATATTATGATGCTCAAAAGATTATGTAGCAGAGTATCTGAAATGCTTTACATCCCATACAAATCATTAAACCATATTAGATAGAAGGCCCTTCTAAATATCTCCATAAATAAATAATAAAATAAAAGAACAATAAATTCTTTGAAATTGGTTTGTATGTTTGCTCTATTATTTGAAAATTTAGTATCTGTGATATAATTCTAAAAAAAATTCTTTAGTAAAAAATTAGTAGTAGTACTATAAAAATCTATAACTAAAAGTTTTGTCAAAATATTTGTATTTAAAATTTTTTCGTGAATATTTAGTTTTTATATTTAAAATTCATCTATTAAATTGAAAATTATCCTATATACCTTGTAAGAATGGTACAAATTACCATATGAGTTTACATATGAAAAAAATATAAAAGTAAGTAACTTTGAATAGACATCCAGCAATCGTTTTCAGTATTGTGCTTACATAGTTCCTCAGATGTTATGAAAGGAGGTTTTGATTTAGGGTAAAATGATGAAAGATCAGGTTTGGAAGCACAATAAGATATCCAATTTAATAATGAATGTCCAGGCTTAAGTGCTACAGGTTTTCTTTTGTTTAATGCGTTTACAGAAAGTGAATTTATAGGCTTCATATGTTTTCATGTCATAGTAAAAATAATATTTGTAAAAATCATCTGGTATAACATTGTAAGCTAAATCACGAATAAAGGATCGTCGATTATTAGATGGCAGGCATTTCAATCATAATTACTTTTATTAATGTTGTTTTTAAAAAGTATGTTTATTTATTTAACAAGAAATAAATATTTATACCAGATTGCGACCATATCATCAAGAAAATTAGCATTGTTATATAAATATTTGATTTAATGTTCCATAGGCGTAGCCAAGGGGGAAAGGGCAAGGGGAAATTTCCTCCCCCCTCCCTTCAGAAATTTATCACTTTGTGAATATCATTTTAAGCTAATAAAAATATTTCCCTTAGCCCCCCCTTCTTGACCCCTAAAAATGTATACATACATCTTAAACAGTAATTTGAAAGAAAGAATGTAAAAGTTAATATTTTTTTATAAAAGTATTCATCATAATTTATATATTTTTGGGAAAAAGCATTCATATATAAAAAAAAGTGAACCAAAAATGTTTTTTAAGAAATGGAATATAAGCCAAAGATAAGTCTTAATTTTTTTATTTAAAATAACCTCCTCTCTTGTAAAAATATTTTATGACTATATATAGACCAAAGCAACCAGGCCGAAGGCGGGGCAAAAGCGGGCCGAAGGCCCTCCCAAATGGGGTCTGGGAGCGAAGCCCCCAGAAATTTTTTAATCCCCCCCCCTTAGGGAAATCTTGGCTACGCCTATGTACTGTTCTGCGGCTATATACGAACATATAAATTTGATTTAATATATATAGAAAGAAGACGATACGAGATACATATAATCTTTTTAATTTATTTAATGACATATTGATTTAATATTTTTTTGATTAATATATAATTTATTTTTACCATATACAAAATTACTTTTAGTTTCATATTATTATTATTATAATTTCATGTGAGCTAATCCAATAAATTAACACCCTTACAGGTAAATGTGAATGGTATGTGTTTTAAAACATAAAAAAATTTTAGTCTTTTTAAAAAACATAAAATATGCAAGAATAGAAGCTCTAAATTGAATTGATTATCTATTGCATTTTGGTATTCTTATTATTTAATCATATTTATTCTCCAAATACTTTTTTATACAAATGTAGCATATATATAACTTGGATATCATGTAATTCTATTGCAATCAAATAAACCATTTATACAAATTATATTAATCATAATTAATCTGATAACAACATCATAATAATACAATCATAAACATTTAATACAAACAACTTCATCCCATTCCATACTATCATTCTTAAACTTTCCTCCATCTCTAATATTATGTGATGTGGATTCATTATTCTAGTGTATCTATTCCCGTATTCGATAACTAATCACTACATCTCTCGTCCACCTCATTTATACAATCCAAAACATCTCGTTATCGCTTGGACGGCATCGCGGTCACTATAACCAATTCCATCCACCATTGTCACCAATCGTACACAAGATCGATTCTACTTATATTTCAAATATAGGATGGGGACCATGGTTGCTCATTCATAGACCCACTCATCCTCATATTCAACTTCTATGGTGCTAGAGGTTGAATATAATAGAGTCACATCGTAATTATTATGATTATGTCTAATTAGCCAGGTTTTTTTTTAACAGTATCCATTTTCCTAAAGTCCATTTTAGCTAGATTCTTTTATTAGTAACCCTTTCCCAAAGTCCAAATTAGTCGTGTTCGTTTATCAGTAACTTTTTCTGAATGTCTAAATTATCATAGATCCATAATCTATATCCATAAACCAAATTACCATGTAAATGTCACTATATCATTAGTATCCATGTTTTCACAATATTATTTCCTATAATATACTATTTTTACTGAGTAACCAATTTCCCATATTTTCAGTGTTGTTAAACGCTACTTTTAAAAGTAGCGCGCTATCGCTACCGCTATCATTTTCAAATGAGTAGCCTGCTATTAGCTACTTCAAAAAAAATGTAGCTAAAGCATTTTTATTTTTTTTTAAATATTTTTTACATAACTTTATTTCCATAAATAAAATATTGGTATAAAAACATGACTATATAATTTATTTAATATTGCACTTTAATAATAATAACATTTTGTACTCGACGATCAGAAAGTATAAGCTTTGCCATACTAAATAATCGTTCAGCACTAGGACTTGAGGGAACGCAGTATTAAATTTAATAAACACACTTTTTATATGAAAAAAATCATCAAAGATATTTAAAAGAGTATTTTCAGATTTAAAAAAAGCATCTAGAGATTCAATAATATTATTATTAAAAAAATCGTCTATGGAAGGCCGCGGTTTCGATCTTGCTATAGTATTAGTATCGTGGTTAGGTATGACATTTTTTAACGTTACCATCAGCCTATCAAGTTGCCCTTTAGATTCAGTCAAATTAATATATAGCCAATTTAACTTGAAACTAGGATAAACTATAGCAGCTATTACATTTACATCATCATACAGATCTGGAAAACTAACTTATATAAAGCGATTATTAATTATAAAATAAGAAGAATATCTTTTTAATTTTCAAAATTTAAATTTATCTGAGATTTAGATTCATTTATAAAAAAATATTAAAATAGCATTAAATTATGGTAAATAAAGATTTTAAAAATATAATTAAATACACAAGGTAATTAATAATATATTAATTTTGAATTTAATATTAATACTATATATTAATATTATAGATTGTGTTGTAAATTAAGCCAATTTAAATTATGGCTAATCAAGCAATAAATCAGAAAATAAAAATAATATTTTGACCTCTTCTCAATGCCTTTTAGCATAGACTCTACCAGTGGTTGGCAAAATTTTCTTGCACCGAAACCGATATCCAGTAGTAATTTTTTCTTCAAGATTAAAGTATTTTTTGAATTTTGGGAAAGGATAATCTATATTTTTCTAATTTTCCAAAGAAATTTTACTATCTTCAACAATATCACACATTTTAATAACTAGATTTATAATGATAACTAAATTTATAATGTATATTTTTAAATATAAATTTACAAAATTAAATTAAATAAAAGGATTATAATTTTAGATATAATAAAAAATATATTTTAATAATTTTTAGATGTATATATTATGTAAAATTGCTACTTCGCTACTTCTCTACTTTCTAAATTATTAGCGAGCTACCGCTATCGCTATTTTCTAAAAAGGGTAGCTAGCTAAAGCTACCGCTACTGAAAAATGTAGCGCGCTATTTTAACAACACTGCTAATTTCATATCATCACTATTACAAATAAATCCCCAAACTAGTTAGCACAAATTATCCATAATCTCAAAATTAGAGATCTGCAAAAGTAGGTCCGGCCCCTACATTGGCATGGTCTAATATTTTTTAAGAAAATTCGGGCCGAGTCGGGTCGAGCCTTAATTTTTTTTTAAAATATATCTAAATTTATCAATTTTATGTTGAATTTTTTATGTAAAATAAAAATTTGTGATTTTATTTATAGAAAGTAGACGCCATATAACATATATCGCTTATTTTGAGTAATTATAAAAATTAATTTCTATATTTGAATAAATTTGGGTCGGGCCGGCAAAATTTTTTTAAAAAAATTTCGGGTTCGGGCCGGGCCTGGTAAAACACTATAAAAAATTTCAGGCCGGGCCGGGCTTAAAAAATTAGGCCCGATGCAGATCACTACTCAAAATAATATTTGAATCCATTTGCCACTTTGTTCATGCCAGGTGGCTCTTCATTTTTGAAAAGTATTTTCAATAATCAATAAAATAATCATTACCCAAAATCGATTAATTATTCAATTTATTTTTCATTTGTACCTAATTAACTATTTCTTATTTTATTATTTTCTTCGTCAATCCATTCATCACCAAATTTTTCTTTGCCAGCAATTATAATAATTCATTTATTATCAGGACCATTACATAATCATAATATAATTAATTCATTATAATATTCCATAATTTATTCATTGTCTAAATTCTGATTTACAATTATATCTTTATCCTAATTTAATTTCATGAAATATCTAAACATTGCTCAACATAATATCACATATAAAAAATAATTCATACTTTAATACGATCATTAATATATTTCATTTGATCAGGTTAATCCCATAATGTTGCCAATCTGTAGATATATATAACTTGAACTTCATGTAATTCCTTATTGCTAAACCATTTAAACAAATTATATAAATCATATTTTATCCGATAACAACATCATAATAATAATATCAGTATCATCCTATATAAATCATCAATAACAACATCATAATAATAATATCAGTATCATCCTATATAAACATCATCATCCTATTCCATAATCCACTGCAATCTTTCTCGAACTTTCCTCCATCTCTAAAACCATATGATGTATATTCGTTATTCTAGTCTATCCATCACCGTGTTTGGTCACTAATCATTACAACATCATAAAGTTAAATAAAAGTGAAATTAATCTCATCAAATTTATCCCTAATCAAAAAATTAATTAATCGGCTAAGGGCCTTTATATATACATATTTTCCCCGTGAGTGTTTGGGGAAGGAGCTTTTCTTGCGCGCAAAGGTAATTGAGCTTGCCCAAAAATGTAATAGTCCCCATGGTTCTCCCAATTATTTAATGCAATTAGATGGAAATCAGAGACTGAGTGAAATTGTTGCTAACTTAATTTACAACTCATAGTGCCACGTACATCTACTGCAGAATGCTTATGAACAACTCTGGATAAAAATATTAATATTAATTTTTTTAATAAATTTAGAGCTGGCAATATTAATAATTAAATTGATTTATTTTAAGTTTGGTATTTTTATGTTATTTGAAATATAAATTATATATGTACACTTAGAGTTGGTGAAGTCCCCCGGAAAAAAATCTAGATAAAGTTTCTTTATAAAAAAAATTAATCATAGATACAAATACTAGAATCTTTTTCAAAATATCAAAAAGATACACGATAAAATATACTTCTATCTTTTGCTAAATTAGAATTCTTATATACAAGATACTTTTAAATTATCATTACCAATTAAATTAGAATAGTTTATAAAATACAGTTTATATTATATATTTGTGGAGAACATAACATACACATAATAAGAATAAATATTTACAATAATTAAATATTTAATTATGAATTATTTATAATAATCAAATCAGGAATTTTAATATTAGTATTAAGCCATTCTTGGCATAAATAGGGAAGGGAGACTAATATAGAAGTTGAAATATTAATTCGCAAATAGTATTTAAAATAGATAGATTATTTTATAAGATAATCAAATTTTTCAAATAATTTATCATTTGACCTTTTTGCCTTTTCGGCGTTCTTGAAATTGAGACAATAAATAACCTTTCAGTTGGAGCTGAAAGGTATTGTAGTATTATATTTTAAAAACATTACATTAATAGAAGGATATAATTATGTTAATAATAGTCAATAACAAGTCAACGTATAGCAATTTTCTAAATACCAACCAAATTTGCTAAATATCGACCAAAATTTATTAAAATGTAATAAGACCCTTATTATGTAACATATTATAACGGAGTAACGTCGTCGAGTTCGGCCTCCTATATATTATCCCTCCAAGGAAAAAACTACCAAGTTAGATTAAGAAAAAAAAGTTGATCATTGCTGGGATTCGAACCCATAACCATTGGATTGGTAAGCGGCACTCTTGCCGACTAGGCCACAGAGGCTTTCCAAAATTCACGATTTTAAAATATGTATTATAAATAAACTTGGAAGTGCTTATACAAATGAAAAATAAACAAAAACAAATTTGATAGGTATTACCTTAAGGTAGTGACTATCATTAACCTAGTAATCAATCATTTGTAATGTATTTCGATTTCGACCTATATTTGGAAATTTTTGAAATAATGGGGCCACTATCATTATATCTTCAAACTAAAAATTTCGATATTTTGTAGCATGGAAAATGATAAAAGATACTAAGTCTTCTGTACATCGATAACTATTACATCGATTCAGAATAAAGCAATAAAATGGCATCTTATTTATATGAAACACTTTCATATTTATAACTCCCGGAGAATATCTGGGTACAGAATGCTTTGCCAAAAAATGAGGATATATAGTGACGAAGGCTAAGATGAACCTCCTCAAGAATCGATTGACTATTATAGGGCCGTAGTATTTCGTCATATAATTGATTAAATTATAAACAGCTTATCGTGACGATTGTTACAGATCAATGTCACGTTAATATTCCTATACATGGTGAAATTGTTTCCGATATAATAATTCACTTTGTGAAATATCTGAAGGTATTATTGATGTAGTTGCTTCTAACAAATGTGAAGATAATAAAAATAGAATTCCTATAATTATAGATAATGTATTTTCAGGGTATGTGAATGATTTATCTACTGTAATTGTGGATGATATAGTTTTAAGTGGGCGTGGCAATGATTGAACTGATGCAATAATAAATGCAGTTATTTCAGATAGATGTGAATGGGAGGCAGTTGTTGATATTCCTAAAAAAATAGTTTTTTTATATGAAGTAATAGTATTAGAAATACTTGGTATTATTGTTCGATTTCTAAGTTTATCGAGAACTAAAACTTGTTTATCTTCTATCCTAGGTAACTTAATTTTATCAAAATCATTCTTTATTATTTCACTATTTACCTCATTATTTTCAGAAACTGTTTCAAAAAAATTCCACCAATTATAAACAGAACCTATTGTCATTATATCACACCAACCTAAAATTGGCTCAATCTTCAACGTAGTTATCCATAAAGTTATATTTTTATTAATTCCAGGCATCCTTATCCTATAATAACCTAAAATTTTCATAACGCTACCATTTAATTGTTTGGCTCTTATTTTTTTACAAATCCTTCTTCTGGCCAAAATCTATAAATCTTCTACACTCATCAGGCTAATTACAACTCCTGTATCTAATAAAAAAAACATATTTCTGCTTCCTTAATTTTTATCTTAATTCTCGGGCAAAAAATCTTATAGTTCAATCTTTCGCACATCTTCACAAAACGAATTATTTGTTCTATATATTTCAAAATTTCTACTTTCTATCTCTCGTTTTATCTATACTTTTATTATTATCACATGATTTATAATTAATAAAATTAAAAAATTTATTATTATCAACAAAATTATCATTAAAATTTCTTTCTCCTAGTCAGTTCTTACAACTTTCTTGTGTGTCCTTCTTGACCACATATATTACACCTCACTACAAAACTGTTAACTCGACATTTTATTGCTACATGGTCATTCTTGCCACATCTCGTACACTTTAAATCTTTGGTTAATTCACACTGTCGCGACATATGACCCGGCTGACCACAACTATAGCACCTTATTTGTCGGTCATTATCTATAGATCTCTTATCTTCTTTTATTAAATTTTTCGATTTTTATAATTCTCTACTTTCTATCTTAATATATGCCGTATTTCTTCCTATTGTTTATACCTAATACAAAAACTAAAATCATAAACACAAGAACTATTAATAATGTTTTCTATTAACAAATTCCACATATTTATCTATATAATATACATTACAAAGTACTTAACAAAAATTTAATTAGAAAAAAGTTTAAATATTCTACCGAAATTAATTGAATAAAGAAATATTATAAAAATTATTAATATATAGCATAAATATATTATAAATTAATCGTATTTTATAATTTTTACCTTAAATTTCCTTGTGAAATCTTTCTTCCCTGGTTTAATTTTATTTTAAATTTTCCTCGCTCCGACACCACTTTAAAAATCGTGAGTGTTAGAGAAAGAAATTTATTTATGAGAAAATATAAAATAAATACAATGAATGTGAAATACTAAATTAAGATAAATCTTGTTACAAAAAAAATAGTGAATAATAATTTTGTATAACATTCTTTTATATCTTTTTTTTATCCAACAATTATTCAAATTTTATAATCATTCTTTTTAACATCCAATTCATCTTTAAATTAAAATAAAGTACAATCTCTTTTCTAAAATATGAATATTACAAAAATTAATATCTTTTCTCTTGAAAACATTACACATAAATTTGCTCGTCTACAACAAATACAAGATACAAAAGGATCTTGTATATTAGGTACAAGTATTAGCGGTACTGTCCAACTCTGGATCTAGATAGATACATAGTCTAAATACATCTAGGTTGATATAGTTGCAATTTTTTTAATTCTCATGTAAGATGTGCATAATGTCTAAATTAGATTCCATTGTTAAAATTTAAATTTTGAAGTGAGCTAAAAAATTTATAATGTTGATATCACATCTATAAACAAAATATATTAAAATCTTTGGTGTTACACTTTATGAATAACATTTTTATATTGGGATCAATGACATATAATAATACCTAGACTGACAATGCAATCATTAAAAGTGTACATCAATAAAAAACAGATGAGGGTGTCATTGGTTATGCATAGCATATATAAAAATTTTAAAGTAAAATAATGTCTCACAATTTTTACAAGGCTAATCTCACAAGAAAATATGTATTTGGTAAATGAAATAATTTAAGGTATTCTGTATCCTATAAAGGTTATCAAAATGGTGTATCGCGTAGTTTCCAGCTGATTAGCATTCAGCGATGCTTTACAATGAATTATTATGAATGAATATTCTAAGTTTTATGTCATAATAGATTGGGATAATCTTTAAATATTACATATTATTGTCAGGCGTTTTGATAAAATGAATTAGCATTAATATGTGCCCAGCTTTAGTAGACACCCTAAGCCTCTAATCCTAGAAAAAGGACAACAAAAAATAATGATATTTATAGTGCTTCAAATCAAATAGGAAATAAATATATTTCCAAGTAAAGAGCTATTTATCACTGCATAATATTCAATCGTGATAAGATTCAATATCTTCTCCACCAAAAGAAAAATATGTTTGAAATAAGTAATAAAATTCTCAATAAAACTTTTCACAATGTACTAACTTATTACACACCGATATCATACAAATAATAAATTCTACACGTGATATAATAAAAGAACTAGGATCATTGAAGGTTGGTAGCAATCATGCCATTTTAGCTTTAATACAAATTTTCCATAATATGTAATGATGTAGAATCGACAAACATTAATCAGATGCCGGAACCATGCTAGTGTAAGGAAGCTTTGCCAATTTTGACCCTTAAGCTAATTGACAAATGTTAGTAATTCTTATATATATTTATTCATACAAAGAACAGAAATTGATTTAAAACTCTGCCTATGAGAAAATTAATAATCTATGATTAGCTATAATAATATAAAAAACCGAATAAAAATCTTAAAAAAAATGAGACATTATTTCTAGAAAAAATCAATCAGAAATTAATGTTGTATACATTCATTTATTACCATATTTTGAATTATTATATCATAACAAATAAATTTAAATTGACAAATAAGTATATAACATATTGACTATTTAAATACCCAACCATGATTATTAAAAACTTAATTTTTTAAAAAAAATTTAATTCATTTTCCATGTTCAAATCATTTAAAAAAATTAATTCTATCGAATAATGGTTTTATATTGTATGAATAATGACTTATTGAATTTGCACGAGTACGATAAATTCGTATTTTTGTAGGCCTAAGGCGAGAACATTTAATTAATAAAGAGACGTAACACGATTAAAATGTCCATATTTTTTAAATTATATATACTAATTTTTGTAATTAAATATCAATGACCGATAAAAATTGTTAACTGATATATACAAAAATTTTATTTCAAAATATTTAAAATCAATATCAAATTATATTACAGGCAATTAAACTAAATAAGAAATTAGGCAATTGAGTCTAAACAATAATAAAAAGAAATAAATAACATATTTAATGATATGATATCTCAATAAGATAAAATATTGTACATACATTTAAATTAGTAACCAAAAAATATTATAAAACAAGAAATGCATTAATTTTGAAACCAAAAATATAATTTATAAATCACAAATTATAACCTTGCATTTACAAAATGTGGCATATGTCAATAATCATAGCATAATGAATTATGTTAGATAAACAATTTGTGATCAAAATTATCCGAATTTCAGAGTTGATTTGAGTTTTGTAGTCATCTCGCTAGCAATTATTTTTTGTTGTCCTTTTTTTGTCCTTTGGAGGATTTTAATAGTTTTCCTTAAAAAAAATAAATGGAAATTTAATGAGAATACTTTTACCCTTCCCCATCCTCTTTAAAAAAAGATGGTTATTTTATTTATTTTTTATTAAAAAGCACTAAATAAAATTTGTTCTGAAATAGAACATTACAGGTTATTATCCAAGGCTATAACATACATTATGACAATATCCCCATATATACATTAGTATGATAGTTTTATTTGCATAAAATAACCAAAGCACAAACATACATTGAGGGAATATATAATAGATTGATATTTCACGCAAGTATATGGACATTTTTTGTTGATATAAATAAATCAATAGAGATTTGTCATAATATCTTTGGTAAATAAATTCATTTTATCTGGTTGCAAAGATTTTCTAGAGCCAAAGTCTCTATGAAATACGGCCGGTCTTTGAATTGCAAAAAAAATACAATTAAATAATTAATTCAAAAATAAATGTGAGTATCAGTTATTTATCGAGAATTGTAAAATCACAATAAATTAGTTATATTAGTATTTTAAAGTTAATCTAAGGTAATTAAAAAAATTATCCGTTTTCCAAAGTTCAAAAAGTTAAACTTTATCAGAGATGAATCGATATAAATTCTTTTGCCGATACCACCACCGTTACTCATATAAAATATACTGAAAAACATACATGATAATTTAACCATATTATTTAAATAAATAAATTTTTTGTTTCTAATTATATAATATTAAAGTGCTAATTATTTTTACCTTCACTTCTAAAATTATCTATCTTTTGCTATTGATTAAATTTTTCATGTATCTTTTGTAGGTTGTTCCAATATTAAATATCGGATAAAATTGGCACCGAAATTGATTCGATCCGATATTTCTATCGTTTTTGATTTTATTATGATTGTATATAATTAATATCTTTTATTTTATATAAAATTTCATAAAAGGAATTTTAATTCAATTTATTTGTAATGTTTAAAAAATCAAATTATTTTAATAGATAGAATAGCTATTCAATTTTTCTTGTTATATCTGCAAAAAAATGATTTTATAATATATAAAGAGTCACAAAGCTATGTTTTTAAATGGCTAATTCAAGATTTTAACTAAAGATAAATTATCCAAGCTTGGAGATTTTGTTGACATTTGGCAGAAAGGTTCGGACATTTATTTTTGAATTTTGAGGCGTAGGAAATAATATTTGCTTAAAATCTTGACGGCCATTTTAAAAAATCGACGAAATTGAGCCTTTTAACAATACTACATTCAGCCATACACTTTATCCATATTTTAAATGAGATACTTCGTGAGAATAAAAAATACACTCAATAATTAGTGGGGTTTTTTTGAATAGAAAATATTAATTTTTTTTATGATATTGATTCAAATATAGATGGTAAATAAAATAAATTTAAATATCGGAAGAGATAGGTGAAAAATTTGTGAATCGGCACAACCCTAATATTGAAACAAAGATATTAAACTTATTTTAATTAAAAAAAAATTTTTTTAAACAAAATGTAACAAATAAAACGCCAATGATGGAATAAAATTTATTGATATTTTTTTCTTACTTTTTAGATTGTAATTCATTTCTTTTCTTTTATTAGAAAATATATCATTTCAAAAAGAACGGAAAAATAATAAATATCAGTCTGAAAATACAGAGAAGAGCGGGAAATTTCTTAATTAATAATTTTTGAATAAAAATGATCTTTAAAAAATATAAATTTTTAAGACAAATTATAAAATATGTAATATATTTTGCAAGATATTATTTTTTTGTTTAAAATTGCACGGATTAGTTTCTTCAACTGACCTAGGGTTACATATCGGCCGATGGTATAGGCAAAAAAATAAAGAGCATCGATCGATACTAGATACATCTCTAATTTATAATACAATATCACAACTATATTGTAGTGGCACCCGTAATTGTGGTCATTTTTATAACTTTACCAAAAGTGAAAGTAATTCTCATAAATCAAAATTAAAACTATTCCATTATAATCCTAATAAATGAATTGTCCTACTATACTGTATTAGTTTTCTGCTTGTTGAAAAAAAGAAGAAAAATATTCTATATCTGAATTAAATTCAAGATTACAATGTTTTTTCCGGTTTAGCTCTGTTTAATATTTTGAGAAATTCTGAGGTTTTCGCACGCATCCTGGAATGAATATAGGCCTAAATATATGGAGACAAAAAATGTTATAGTCAACTAAAATAAAATATAATTAAAAAAACACATTGTACATCTCGCGAATAAAAGTCAAAACTGAATTAAATGAAAAATATTTACCGATTAATTATCTATCATAAAAATCTAGATTGTTGAATTAAACAAAAAAATATTTGAAATTACTTTTGAACATTTGATATGGTAATGTAAATAATTTCGGAACATGAATATAAGGTCTATAGTATTATCTCTGCATTGGGGAGTTAGGTGACGCGGTAATAAAACTATTATAAATTAAAAATATATAATATCTTTATAATATATATTTTCAAATATCTTATCACATTAGATATAAAATAATACTCCATATAATGTAACAAATGAGCATTTTGTAAAAGAAATTAGTAAGTGGGTTTAATCAAACCTTCCATTGCAGTGTCAAATTACAATTTAAAAGAAATAGAAAGCTAACACACAATAATATCAATCAATATATATTGCAAAAGCATATTTATAGTTAATATCGATTGTTTTATATATCAATACCAAAAATCCGTCAAACATTATAATATTAAAACAATTTAAAGATATGGCGAGACCTCCAACGGCGATTTTGCATACCTTTATTTACAAAGTGACCTTTCAGATTAAACTTTAAACATTATAAAAAAAAATCGATGAAATACAATATTATTTAAACCACCGATTCATTCACTTAAATGTGTATCAATACAAATTAGCTGGTAACATGCCATTTTTGTTTCCGAAATTAATTTACATTAAAATTACTTTTTAAGGCTGGGTCCAAAATCATAAAAATATAAATTAAAAAGAAAAAAATAACTAAGCTATTTTTAATGTAAAAATAAAATGGTGTCCAATTTCATTTTTCAGTATTTATTTATTTTTAAAATTTTTGTAAACAAATAGTAAGTACAATTTTTAATGCTGTTAATTTTTATAAATTTATTAACTTACACGATTATAGCCTTTTATATTAATATATTTTTTAGTGTCAGAATATAATTTTATGGAAAGCATAAGAGTGCAACAGGAACCTCTGGTGCAAAAATGACTTAAAATTCAGAGATTCTATAGAAAATAGGAAAATTTGGGAGGAAATTGGAAAAACATATAATCTGAATTATGATCAAGTGAAGAAGATTTTAGCTGTAAAGGCTAAATTTAATAAATTATATTCTCTCACCCAACAAAAATCTGGTAAAATTTTTTTTATATTATATAATAATTAAATTTTAATAGGTGCTGGGACAACCAACATAGAAAGTAAAGATTTACTATATGTTGAAGAATATTTATGGTTAAAAGAGAATGTTGGTAATATTACCAAATATTCTGAGTCAAGTTTCAAATTGACACATACAAATGTAAAATATTAAAAGACAAAAATATAAAATAGTTTTTTATTTATAAAATTATATATTTTAATAGGCTGCACAATACCTTAATGAAATAGAAACCCCACTTGATGATCAAAATATTGAAATTGCTTCAATTGAGGATACTATAATTTCTGTATTTTATATTCTATTATTTGATATTTATTATTGAATAAGAGCTAGATCAAGATATTGCTTATAAAGAAAATGAAAACCCCATGAATTTTACTAAAAATATTCCTATTCCATCTATTAAATGGAAAAAATTAAAAATTATTGATTCTGAAAGAACAGAAATATTTAAAGGTAAAATAATTTTATAATAAATAATATTATTTATTATAAAAAAAAATAGATATTTTAGATTCAAACAAACTGGAGAATATGTTTTGTCAATCTAATTTAAATCAAACAAATGCAATATCAATAGAAGATAGATATATTTAAATTAGGGGTGTACCGATACCACTTTTTGGAGGCCAATCCATATTACAGATATTAAATTGATATCGGTCGATTACCGATCCGATATATTATCTTAATTTTGTATTCTGTAAAGATAGCAATAATTTTAATTTTTAATATATTTTTTATTAGGATAACATCTATAATTTAACTATACCATAACATATGTCAATATTTATAATGGTCAGTTATAGTTTATATTCAATTAAAAAATCACTTATTTATATAATAAGTAAACATTATAAGTAATAAACAAATATATTATGAAATTTGAAATAAATATTTAAATAAATATAACGAAGATTTCTTTTTAGAAATACCAAAATTTTCAATTTATCAGAGGTCAGTCTGCGGTGATGGGGACTGTAAATATCACTAGCTTCACTAAAAACAGATTCTGAAGAGATTATTGCACACTTTTATAAACAGAATGCGAAAAGAAATAACAATATGGCAGAATGTTTATTAACTAATTATTACTATTAAAAATATTAAACATAAAAATGGATTTCGATTTTCTTTATAAAAATAAATGATTTTTCAGATATAACTTTTTTTTAAAAAAGCAATTTTTTTCGGATCAGATCGAAAAGTAATATATTTACCGATAATCGAATGGGTGAAATATTGGCCAGATCCGATATAAAATATCGGTACATCCCTAATTTAAATTTAAAAAATTATTTTGTGAAAATTTAACTTTATTTATGTAAAATATTTATATTTTGTATTATATTATTAACTCATATAATAATTTATATATAATATGGAAAAATTATATTCCTATATAAATGAGTCAAAAACAATTATTATTTCAGGTTTTCCAACTGTTTATTAAATAATGATACAATTATTTACAACATATATGTATTTATTAAGTATAAAAATAATATTTATTATCACCATTATCAATAATAGGTTCATACAAAGTTTAATAAATGAAATATAAAATAAATACAATTAAATATTTACATATCTTTGAAATGTGTTCTTAAATTAATAGTTTCCATTTGAGCAAAGGTATTGAGATTCATTAGAATCTGGTAGGCATTATTCATTTGAACTAAGTTCTATATTTTGAATGCCCTTTTATTACATTATGTAAAAGGCAATCTGCCTTAACAATTTGAATTGTATTAAGTATGTTAGTTTCAGATCCTTGATCTTTATCATGAATAATATATTAATATTCTAATTATAATATACACCTGAACCAAATATCTAAGCCATTTTTTATGTTCAGTCGTATCTTCAAATATTATATAATAAATAACTAATAATTGAATCATATCAAACATTTTAAATATTTTAATATTTATTTTTTTAAAACTTAAATGTGTCCAAGAAAATTTAAGGATTTTTTAAAAACATTTTGGACGCAGCCTAAAAAAATCAGAGATTTATAAATATTTTTATGTTCGATACATGACGTGTCACCAGCTGATTTGTAAAATTGAAAAAAGAGATGGTTTGGTCATTTGAAGGGTAAATGATGACTAGGATAAGATTTGCACAATTATGGAAGTAAATAAACCATAAAAACAAACCTTAGAGGGTAACCAGAAGACCTGGAATTGTAGGGGATGGTGTGAAGCTAAAACTGGGAGGCTTGATGTGCAATTTTGAGAAAGGAAATACCAAAAGACAAATAGAAAACTGGGAATTCTTGACCAATGAATAATTAAATTAAGTGTCATAAATAATGACAACTTGTACGAATAGAAGGTTTCATAATATTAGAGGTATAAAAATTTAGGTAAATATAGAATAGTTCGATTATTAAATAATAAAAAAAGTATAATATAATGTATGATATTAGCTTACTGAAAGTTATGTAACTCATATTAGGGGCTGTTTTAACATCAGTTCTTTCCTTGAATTCTCTGGGCGGTTCCGAAGACGAAAATAAAATGTGGGGTGCATTTTGACTAGCTTTTCTACCCTCTTTAAACTCCTAGTTATAGTGTATAAATAAAACATTTATTAAATTTAATAATCTCACTAAATTATTACATGCAACTTACCCTTCCCCACTGGATTGAGAAATCAAACTTAAATTGATAGCCCATTTATTTCATATGCATAGAAGGGCCCTAAGTGAACGTGTTGGTGTGACAAAGAATGCAGGCCAATCATTTTTTTAAAAATTTAATGGATTATAAAATTGCATTCCCACAATCTAATCCAGATTTTTATTTTATTTTAGGCATGGGTGAAAAATAGATTCGAATAAAATTTAAATTTTTTCTTATAAATATAAATAGGTATTCATTTTTTTTAAAGAAAAATCGCTTATCTTGTCCTGCAAAGAAAATGATATGAAATCAGGGTCATAACAATAAAGACCCATGAAAGTTTTAGGCTAAATAAATTTCTTAATTATATTGAGCAAACCAAAAAAAACTCTTTTCATATAAACGCGCATATATCGATTTTATTGCAGAAATGACAAAATAAATTTGTTCACTATTAAAATTATAGGATTGCGTGATTTAAATCATTTTTTTGGTGTAAAAATCTCAATTATTTCTCTTCTTTGATTAGTTTTTGTCTTCATATTAATTTTTTTTTTATTCTGCCTCATTTTATTATATTTTGTATAATAAATATTAATTGATTATATAATTTTATTATTTTGGTATAATAAACTCCTATAAAAATCATTTTAATATTGTTAAAATTAAAGGAGATATAAAAAAAATTGCTATAATTATTTCTGCCCTGTAATAATATTGATTAAATATTTTTTTAGACACCAAGATTAGTCGAGGTGCAAAACAAATCTTTAATAAAAAAGAATAATTTTAAAGTAATAAAATATTGTAAATATTAAAATTCAATTAAAAATTATACTGAAAAATCAGAATTTATTAAAATTATCATAAATGAACAAATAATTTGATAACACATGATTGATTACTACTTTAGTCAATTCGATATTGATAATCTAACATACGGAATACGGAATAAAGCGCATACGCCCTCTCCAACTTTCGAGATTATAAGGCTATAGCTCTCACCTCTATTGCGTCTAAGGTCTTTATGGTCTTACTTGAGACGCGAATTCTACAAACATCACATAATCTTTTCGCAAAATACATCTGTGCCTAGCGTCCAGGCAAGAATATCATGGAGCCTTTCCTTACTCTCAAAATTATAATTCAAAAATGTGATAAATATAAATTGCCTTTTCTTTTTACCTTAATTGACTTTAAAAGAGCGTTCGATAATGTCAATCACAATGCGCTCTGGGAAATACTTTCAGAAGTAGGTATTGATAGTAACATAATTAAAATTTTAAGAAATCATTACAAAAACTTGCTCACTAAGTGTAAAATAAATAACAAAACCTCCCCATCTTTTAGAATAAAGAAAGGTGTTGAACAGGGATGTGTTCTCTCCCCCATCCTTTTTAATATAGTAATGAACAAAATTTTGAAAGACACTCTAGATGCTGCCAATCTGCTGGAACTGAACTCAGTCCTAAACAATAGATATCATCTTGTAAATAGAATCATTTCATACGCAGACGACGTTGTGATTATCACCAAAAACCTGGAAGAAACTCATAATTTCATTCTTCTATTAAAATCTATTAGTCAAAGAGTCGGGTTAGAAATAAACTTCAAGAAGACAATGATTCTATTGGCTAGACATACTCCCCCCATGGAGAACATTGTCATCGGTTCTGAAGTAATCAAGGTAACTACAGAAATAAAATATCTTGGGATCACTATAGACAATAGAGGAGGCTGCAAAGATGAGCTGAAGCTGAGAATACAGAAAGCAAGGACAACTTTCTACAAATTTTTCAAGCTCTGGAAGACCAGGGAGATTTAGGTTTGTACAAGATTACGGTAATCCCCATTTTGTTATACGGGTGTGAGACCTGGGAAATTAGTAAAGCTGACACCAGAAAATATCAAGTATTCATCAACAAATGCTTAAGAATTATAAATGGCATTTTACCCCAGGTTGATATCGAATGATAAATTGTGGAAAATGTCAAGACATATCCCCATTCGCATTCTGCTCAAGAAAAAACGTATTCAATTTTTAGATCATATACTGAGACATCCTAACTCAAACCTAGCCCATGATGCTCTAACATGGCTTTTCACCTGCAAAGGCAAGTCATATAGCAGATATAAGACACTCTGATTCAACCGTGTTCTAAAAGATGTGGCAGACCTTAACTTAAACTGGAAACAATTTACCAAACTAAACAATAATAAAAAATCCATAGATAAGCTTCTCAAGATTAAGTTCAACTATCTGAAATAACACCCCTATCTCTTGTAACTCCACCCCCTCCCCAAACCCTTACATTCCCAAAATACAGGTTTCATTTCTTATTTATTTATCATATTTTTCTTTTAGATTCTTAAAATTTTATTTCTAGAGAGCCTTCCCCGTCCAGTTTACTTTTAAATACAATAGGGTGTGGGATGTTATCTTGGTCCTCCCTTATCTGTCCCAGCCCACAGACGTTTAAATAATAGTTCACGAACTATTATGCGTACAAGTACGTGCGGCTTGCCCACAAAGTGTGAAGGGCTCCTCATATTTTACTTTACACTTAACTTAAATCTTCCAATTAGATGGAAATGAGGAAAACCTAGCGTAGCTCTGTTGTAACTACAACGTAGAGAGGCGTATGCGCTTTATTCCATTTATTATTCATAAATTCCATGGGGAAACAGATGTTTAATAAATAAAGATGAATGCATGTTCAATTAATGACTGTGCCTTATCAGAAATTTCCTTCCATGTCATATTTTACTTTAGTATAAAATTTGATTTAAATATTTAAAAAATCGTTATTTAATAAATAAATCATGATTTTTGCCAATCTTAGAATTAATTATCATGCTATATATGCTTCTCAAAATAGATCAAAAAAATATTAAAAATATAAATAATAATTTATGCCTGCAGAAATATTTTGCCTATGATACAGTCATCTTCGTCGTGAAATAGTGTGCTAAAAACAACTGTTACTCTGTCCTCTTTAGCTTCAATATACCTAAAAAAATTAAAATGCAATAAGAGAAACTAATATTTATTCCTACTCTCTTTATTATCACTTTTATGTATTTCAATATCGCAAAGTCTATCTCTATTATATTTAATATTGTTTGACTTCATTATATTTTGTATCCATATAAGGAAATATGACAACAAGGTTAAGAATGTTTTATTAAAACACAAGAAATAAAAATAAAAAATATAATTAATTTTTCTCACGTCTTTTACACCCGCATCATATAAATTTATTAAAAATAACTCCTATATTTATTTAATAAAAAATATAGTATTAAATTGCTAATATTGAATATGATCAATTTTATAAAGCGAAGAAATAATAATAACCGATAATAATGCCTTGACATGAAATTTATACATAATTAATAAACTCAAATATTTAATGAAACTGTTTCCACAACTTCCTCCCTATCAAATCTCCAGATTCGTCTCCCAAGATTTACTCAAGCTCCGAGTCCGTAATCACAAAATCTATCCAGTCGCCTAACTCCATTCCAGTTATAGGGCGGCAAAAATTTACTTGGGGCTTTTATCACCCACGGTTGCTTTTCTTAATTCTTCGGGTAACTTAGTCTACAGTTTCCCTTTCTACCGTAGTGTCGCTCCTAAGCCTTGTTCCCATAACTAATACCCCACGGGCCAGTGTCTCCTAAACGCGCGAATTGGCTTCTCCTAAAGCATATTTTCCCTCACTTCCGCCGTAAGTCTCGCTCATGTCGTTGCCCCCCACTAGATCGGTAACATGTCCCACCTCGGATTTCCACCCATTTCTCCGTGAAAATTGATTTATTAAATGGTCTTGAATTATTATTTCTTTCGCTTTATAATCGTATTCAATATTAGCAATATAATATTATACATTTTTGTATATAGGATATATGCAGTGGTGTAGACAGGGAAAATGGGGGGGGGGGGGGAGGGGGGGTTGCGAATAATTTTATTTAGAAAACGGTTTCAATTTATAAAAAAATGAAATATATTTAAAAAAACAAATAAGAATCTTCGATTTTAAATGAAAACATGGTTTAAAAATATATATTAAAAATTATATGTAAAATATTAAATAACAATAAAAATATATTGTAAATTTTTTTCTGGCATAGTTAAATTAGATATTTATAAATTTAATAATAAAATTTATATTATTAAACTAATTAGATAATTTTAAAAATTATAATGAATTTTTTATAATTTTAGAAAAATCATTTAATTTGGTAAATGTAATGAAAAAGTAAAGGTGATCGCTAATATGTTTGGGATTATGTATTTTAATAGTGTTTCTAGATAGTCCAATCGCTTAAATTTTGATCATCTACGATTGAGGATTTTTATAAAATAAATATTTTTACTCCCCTTATTGATACATTTTTATTTCAATTAAAGGAAAGAATCATTAGTCACAATTTTATTTTAAACAGCTTTTATTGAGAGGATATTAAGAAAATCTCAGAGTTTTATTCTGATGAATTATCAGGATTGTATGATAAGTTACTTTGTGATGTCGAATTTTGGTATAAAAATTTTGACAGAATAGAGTACTCTTTGAGACCAAAATATGCTTTTTCAGGCCCTTTCCATGTGTAATTGCACTTTAGATTTCCTGCCTAATATCAAAACATTGCTTTTTATTTTAGCTACCCTACCGATTAACACTTTCACTAATGAAATATCTTTTTCAACTTTGAAAAGGTTAAAAACATATTTAAGAAATATCACGGGCGAAAGCCGTTTAAATAGATTAGCACTTTTAAATATTTATAAGGAGATTATTCTAGATAAAAATTCTAGATGAATTAATCAATTCTCAGAGAAAAGTAGACCTTTCTTTATAAATTCAAATCATAAAATTGCTATATTATTATTATATGTTCTTAGTCATAAAATTTTTATATCAAAACGTAATTATAATAAATTCTTAGTCATAATATTTATATATTATACTATTCGGCCTAACCCGAATTTATTTAAATATAGAAATTCTATAATTACTCAAAATAAAAGATATATGTTATATGGCGTATAGTTTTTATAAATAAAATCAAATATTTTACATAAAAAATTTAACATAAAATTGATATATTTAAAAAAATTTCCAAAGACCGACCCAACCCGGCCCAAATTTTTTTAAAAAATATTAGGCCCGACCCAGCCCGAACCTGATACTCATGCATGTATATTAATTATAAATGTTAAATTAGAATTTTTTTAAAATAAAGTACAAAAATTACTCATATTTATTGTAATTTTATTTTTTTTAAATATAATTATTTAGAATAAATTTTTAATATAATCTGTATAAAATTTATATTAAAATTTATTTTATTATATAAATAATAAATGAAATCTATAATGAAATTCTCTGCAAAATTTTGTTATATGCAAAAATTTAATTAAAATAATTATTTTTAACATAGAATAAGATATAGAGTGATCATAAAAAATGGGAAGTTTGGGGGGAGATTTTATTCTTCTTTCTATACCGAATGGATTGAATTAATTTACAATTGACTAAACATTGATAAAATTTTCAGAATAATGCTTTCAGTCGCGTATTAATCATAAAATTTGGTCAAAATTTCGTTACTAATATTTTTTTCATTTATGCTGGCTACTATAGTGGTTAGACACTAATAAAGCACAAAATATTGACAAATTTTTATTAACCCCCCCCCCCCCCCATGGATAAATGTATATTTATTTCGGCGGATATAAAAAACTCGAGAAAATTTTTTTTTATTATTTATGATTTTTATTCCTTGTTTTAATAAATATTCCGTGATATTTGTTTATGTGGCATACAAAATATAATAAATAAACAATATTAAATATAATAGCGATAGACTTTACGATATATTTAAAGAAAAATATTGATAAACATAAAAGTGACAATAAAAGAAAGTAGCAATAAATTAAAATTATAACAATATGAAATAGGTTTTATATCGAAAATAATGCCACCAACATTTAGTAATATCACCGTAGTGTAACCCTTTAAGGAGAATGATCTTAACCTGATACCTTTTTACAAAATACTAAATTTAAGGAGAAAAATACTTTTTATGGAACCACCTGAATAAATTCTTAATCATGATTCATTATGTTTTACTCCATATTATATTTTATTCATTTTTGAAATAGAAGTATTTCAATATAGCATTTGTGATTTTTAAATTAAAAAAGAAATAATTAACATTAAAATAATAAGCAAGGAAATAATCAAAATCAAAAGGTCCGAATTGCTACAAACCCCATTAAATTTTTGAATATGCTATAAGAGAATTCAAAATTAATATATATTCTTTTAAGAGTGTATTTTACATTAAAAAAGTAGTGTTTATAAAAATAAATGTGGATCCATATTCTTATACTTTCCAAGAAAAGCTGGTAAATTAAGTTGTCGGCATTTATTACACAATTTTATGAGCCATGGTAAGGATGGCGATTAATAGGAAGGGAGAAAAAAAAACAATTAATATTTTTCGAAGGTAACTAGTTAGTTATACATCATTAAAAATATTCGCCCACTTAACCTTTAATGAAAATTATAAAAATATTATAAACAAGTATATTTCGAAAGCTGAAACCATAATTAATTACACTAAAAATTTATGAAATCATAAATTTTAAGCTTCTTTTTAAATGAAAATTAAGTCGACTTCGAGAATTCGCTAGGAAAGTTGAAAGCTCAACAAGGTTAAAATATTTATATTTGAGCAACGCCTTTTATCTCGTCCATAAATAAAAAATTATTGCCTAAATGATAAGAGTTAGTGACATCACTGGTTTTAGGTTGCGAAGAAAGTGAAACAATTCAGAAAAATATAAAAAAGAGACTTTGTTTAAAATTTTCTTACATGGCTTCATCCTCCCTGTAATGAATGAGGGCTCCTTCGAGTTTCACGTTCTGCGAATCGAAATATTTCAAAAACAAGCCGGCTAGACAATTTCGTTTGAGAGTACTAGCTTTGTATATCAGAGAGTATATTTTGTCCTTGTTGACTGACATTATAAATTGTGCAAAGGTCGAATATATTTACATATTTTAAAGCATCTATTTGGACTAAATTGTTTTTTTGCTAAAGACATCTCACAATGAATCGGTTCGATCCGAATTTTAGTTAATCATCTAGTGCTTTTGATATATCTTAGATTAATCAAAATAATATCAAATAAACATAGTTGTTACCTGGCAAAAATTCCTCTTGGCCTTCTTCTTTTTCCGATACATCCCCGCGAGATTCTTCAACTAGGGTTTTGAGATCATAACATATAGAGAAATCGTAGCCTATCGCAAAATAGATCATTATTATTTATAGTTAAATATAAAGATTTGAAGGAGATTGAAGTAAAAATAAATTGGAATTTAGAATTTTGAAGTTTTATGGGGAAAAATAGAAAGTTGGCGCCGAAATGTATAATAATCTCGAAGTTAAAAAAAAAGATGAATAAAGCACTCCTATTGTTGAACGGGTAGAAATATTAAATAATGCAAAGGGGTATTATTAACTATTTTAAAATTTCATTAATTATAAACAATTTAGCGTTAACAAAACAAATTTCAAGTAAATATTATTCCTCAAAACTAGTATTTCTTTATATATATAAACCATTTTCGGGTTCGGACATGCAATAGCCTTGATATTCTTTCTTGAGAAACTAAAAAATAGCAACAAAAAATTTAAAATGTTATCATGATTATTTATTCCATCATATAAATATAAAATATCTGTTTATTTGGGAACTAAAGGTTATATAAAAATATCGCAGTCTAAGAGTGGAGATGGAAGATCCTTAGAATCGGAATCACGGCCGATACAAGCCACTTAAGAATTGGCCCATTTTATAAAAAAGCATTCTTATATTTAAAAAAATTATTTACGTAAAGTGAGATAAAAATTTTTAGAAGTGGGTTTTGTTCTTGATCCTTAATTTTTAAATGATACATTTCAAGAATTTGTATAAATATATTTAAACGTAAAAATTATGAAATAAGAAACATAATGCAAAAAAATCGAGATTTCCAAAAAAAATAAAACTTTCATAAAAAAGTCAGTATCTAGGGTGCAAATTTTGTTAATTTTAAGAATGCATTAATAAATAAGTATTTTTTGCTAACATTTTTTATCTAAAACATGATGTAGGGTAGTTTTTAGACAATGTATAAGTCCATTCACTGAGAATATTTCTTAATACAGATCAGCATCGCTTGAGAGCTGAAGATGTCGGAATATATTATTGTTTTATAGAAATATTAAATAATGGGTCCCGTATTCTAAAATTGAATTGTATCGGCATTTACAAAAATTGAAGTAACGTATCGGAATAGTCAATTTATTTTAATAAAATTCTACATCTCTATTTAGAAGTGGGATTAGGGTCGGCATGATTAAATAAAATTGATCTGAATCGTGATATTTTATTCCAATTCGATATTGCTAATTTAACAATGTTTTCTTTATAAATTCCATAGGGAAATAGATATTTAATGTAATAAAACGATTATATGTTCGATAAATAACTTTTCCTCGAGAATTAAACTTCTTAAGGTCATATTTAAGATTATTTTTATTACGAAACTTTATTTAAATAAAAAAAATTTTGATTCAATAATCATTTATTTTCAAATCATGATTTTTTCCAACCCTATGTGGGATTGATTCGAATAATCAACCAATAACGTCAATAGGGGACGCAAAAGCGTGCTCAGCACTGCCCGCCTGATTAATAGGTAGAGACGCCACTGGTTGGCATATTTTGTAAAAAAAAATTTAAAAAATGTTTACCGTATCGGCTCCGTATTTCAATAATTCCTTGAAATATTTTAGACTGATACTGATCTAGAAAAATATTTTTTGAAAAATAAATAATTATAATATATTGGTTTTTATTATATATATGATTTTAACTTAATAATTAAATATAATAATAAAAATATCTAAGACTGTGCCGATATTAAATATCGGATCGGTACCGATACTTAGCATTTCCCAAAAATATCGGATCGGGCCGATATCTGTAGACCTTTTTACTTTTTTTTAAAATTATTTTAGATTAATAATATTTTCTAAAGAATTTTTTTTTAAACAATGCAAATGCACAACACCTCTTAAATTTTATTTATTTTTTTAAATAGATTTATAGTAAAAAGTTTTTTTTATAGAAAGGAGCACCCAAAGTTTTATTAATTTTAAATCTTTTTAAATAATAACGCCAATTTTATTATTTATACCTTAATGAAAGAATTTTTTTAAATATGATATCTGAATTATGGAAATATTTTACAAAAGTCAAAGATAATTTTGCAAAATGCGTTATCTACGAAATTCTAATTTCACGAGGAATAATAAAAAATTCATTTAATATTACCAATATCCGTAAACTTTTTAAAATTACTGTAGAAATAATAAAATTAAATGCATAATTCGAATTTTTGCATAAAAAAATATTGATTTCTTAATTACATTTGGTTCAAAGGAGGGTGATGAAAAATCAATATAAATATCGGATCGGTTTTGAACCAATATCGAAAAATGTCGGATCGAATTGATGAAAAATATGTGGATCGGCACAGCCCTAAAAATATCCTACCAAATTTTTTTTAAATAAAAAAAACCACCTTATATTAACACAATTTATTACTCTAATTAGATAAAGGTGATAAAGGAGGACATGACAAAAATGAATCTCGTAACAACGAAGCTCAGACAGGACCGACAAAAATAGAAGGAGAATTAGAGCGGAAACTAGCTTATATGGCTAAACTTGGAAATCGTCATTAAATTTTAAAAATTGGTGTTTGTGGTTTCGAGGGGTCCAGATTCTGGTTCCAAACTTTGCTAAAGCAATCAAATTCAAAAAATAAATATACTAAGGATGCGAGCCTCTCAACAAAAGATCAGAGATAAAAATTTAAAAAAGGGGCTCGAGTTCAGAGTTTGGAGTGCATAAAGAATATTGACTTGATATTTTTTATTCTACTTGATATAAAAATTTACGCAAAATATATTAAAATTAATTTATTTTTAATTTTAAATGTTTTTTGGATGAAACAATCATAACATCTTCCAAAATATCCTCTTTAAGATTTTCGTACAAACCTAAATTCAAGAAAAATTTTATTTTACTTTCTTGATTATTTAATTTTTTAAAAAAATGATAAAACAATAAAATATTAAAACAACTATATAAAAATTTGTAAAAATAACGTATTCCTATAATATTTTTAAATTATCATTCATAATAAAATTTTACCTACAAAATGGAAACTAAAAATTTTGAAAAATGCGAAGAAAAAAAATCTACTTTTATTTATTTTTTATAAAATAATAAAACCGTCAAAAATATTTTAAGAGATTTTTAATATTTTTTCGAGACCTACCTCGTTTTTAAAAGGGGTTCGGGTTCACATCGCTGAAAAATGAATTACACAACATTTAAAAAAAAAATAATTATATATAATTGAAAAAACAAATATTAATATTAAAAATGAAGCTGATATAATAAGCCTTGTGAATAGCAATGGCTAGTCTTTGCCTCAAGAAAAAGCCTTAACGGAGTTCATTGGTAAATTTGCGAATGTGAGAACCAAGTTCCTTATCAAATGATAAAACTCGATACCAAGGTAGTGGAAATTATTGGAATGAAAATGTAGTCTTTTGTGAAATTTCTGAACATTAATTGCACTTTTTCTCGAGGATGTTCGAAGTTTGATTGAAGGGAGCCTTAGATCAATACAAGAGTAATCCCGACCTAAAATTAGCTCTCTTCCAAGGATTTTAAGAAATTCTATCAGAACGTTTCCCATCAGATTTGAAAAAACCTGATGGAATGTTAGTTGATCTCAAAGCTCTTAGGAGGATCGAATTACATATATTATGTCTAATAATATAACCTTTACAACATTTCCCTCAACAGTTAAACTGCATCCGAAGTAAAGATGGGATTGAGTTAAGCAATTTAAACGAATACTAATGGTATGGGTTATTTTGATACTTTTAACATTTTTTTAAATTAAATTTTGTAATTGTTTTTCCAAATATACTAAAAGGGATCGTTTATATCTCAGAATTACGTCTGTAATAAACAAATTCTCAAGATGAAGGATGCCTATTATTATTGGTGATCAAATGTAAGTTCCATCTTTAATTCTTAGGACGCGACGCGTCTGAAAGCGCTTCTGGAATGGGACGCATCTCAATAGGACTAACCTTGCACGGGCTGCGTCTAAGTCCGTCCTACCTCTCCTGTCCCAATAATTTTTTAAATTCATAATTGCTTTATTTTTATTTATATATTCTATCTATTTACTTTTATTATAGAATTCAAAATAAAATAAGGACATATTAATAAATCACAATGTTATATTTCGAATAATTTTAAATTCTAAAAAAAATCTGTCTTTTTTGAAAGAGCGACGTATCCCAAAGACACTAATCTTGGATGGGACGCGTCCCAAGAATGCTAATCCTGAATGAGAAGCTTTCGTTCCCTGATGGACGTTTGATCACCTATACATATCATATTTTTATAAATAAGGTTTTATCTGAGGATGTTTGAAAATTGCCAATGATGTATCTGTATCGTCTTCAAAAATTCAGTTAAATAATAGAGTCTCAGCTATAACTTTCAAGAAAAAAGGATTTCTTTTTTGGGTATAAGTGTAGTCGTGTCTTTAATTTCCTCCTGAACGCCTTATTCATAAAAATATGTTTCCTACAAAATTAAAAAATAAATCAAATATAGTTTATTCTTCTCTTGATTTAAACAGCACCAGCACACATAATATTTGGAAAAGTATATAATGAAATGATTGTTGGATAGACTAAAGAGAATTACTTAAGGAGTCAGTGCTTGCGAAAGAGCACTTGTGGTTTTTGTATAGCTAAATTTACCAGAAAAAAAGGAGAATTGGAAATTAAATATACTATGTAAAATTTAAAAAGGTAAGAGTAACCCGACAAATTGTAGGGGTGGGGGAAATAATGATATTTAAGGAAAATTTAATAGCTCATTTATATAATACCCAATTCGACTGTAATACTGATACAGTGAAACGAGTGTTAATAATAAACTTACAATAAAAGGGAGTAAGCATAATAAGATTTTATTTTAATTACATATTGAAATTAAATATGGACAAGCAATTAATTAAGAAGATTAATCGTTAAAAAAGAAATGTGTTGGAAATTTAATTTAAAATAAAAAAATGTGTTATAGTAAAATATTTATTAATTTTTTTTTCTCTTAAATTAATAAAAAAAATGTTTAATATAGAATCTTTATTATCCAATAGTAATACAAATTTTTCCAATTTAAATGAAAACTCCCAATCTTGTCGAGAATTCAAAGACCAAAAATAATACACAATATTGGAATAAAGAAAAAATAGAATAGTTACTAAAATGTTATCAATGCCTGATAAACAACAAATGAATATTAAAGATATCGCAAAATACGTCGAAATGTCTACAGCATATGTCCATAAATTTAGACGGGACACATTCCAAGATATAAATGGAGATCCTTTAAATGAATACAGTATTTCAAAATGAGGAAGTAAGAAAAAAGATTATCCCATAATTGAAAGATATCATAAGCTTATTAATGGAAAATAACACTCTTACTATCCAAGTGATAATAAAAAATTTACCCGCTAGCTGTCCAAAAACAACTATTAGTAAAATATCAAAAATAAATATAAGGTTGGTCGAAAAAAAGAGCTGCCAAGGAGCCTAGAAGAAATACTCCTGGGGCAATTAATATTGATCAAATCTATTGTGTAAAAATCTTAAATATCCCAAGAGAAAAATTATATTTCTTAGATGAAACTGGAATGAACTTGCATGTTGTACCAATATACGCCTGGGCGCCATACCATGTTTGTCTAATAATAAAAATCCCATCCTCTAAGGGTAAAAATGTAAGCATGTACAATTGTATTTGGAGGGGTAATCCATTATAAAATAATCGAAGGAGCTTATAATGGGTTATGACAGAGCTTATCAGTGTCTCACCACCAGATGCAATTATTGTAATGGAGAATGCATCTATCCATAGAAGCCATCTTATTGATGCTTATAAAGATAGGATTGTATACCTACCACCATATTCACCTCAGCTAAATCCCATCGAAAATTTTCGCACTCTTGAAAAATAAATATCGAGCAATCAATCCCGCCCTAATTCAAGAGATGAAATTATTGGGAATATTATTCAGCTTTTACACGGATTCATTCCTAATGATTTTACTAACTTTTATAATCACATGCAAAGCTATTTGGAGTTGGCTTATTGTGGGCAAATGATGAATTAGGTAATTCTTATAATTGATTTGTATTAATTAATAATTATAATATTAACTCTTTTAATTTCTAAAAAGGCACCATCATCAAATTCGTGGAACAATGGAATATTTTGATAAATTATAATTATATTTTTTATGTATTAATTATTTTATCAAATTATTATAAAAATTTATAGAATTATCATATTTTTATCGAAATAAATGGATAAGTTATATTTAAGAAATTCTAAAATATTTTCAAATATCAAAAAGACTTTTTACAAAAAATGATTTAGAATTTTGATGAAATTTAATTAAAAATCTTACTTGTGCATCTCAAAGAAGATCAAAATTTTTTTTACTTTTTTCATCACAAATTATATATTTACAACATAATTTTTATAATTTTTCTTTATCATTTAAAAACGATTAATCTTTAATTAATTGCTTGTTCATATTTAATTTCAATATGGATTAAATTAAAATTTTATTATATTTATTTACCCCTTGTTGATTTATTTGTATAAATACTCGTTTCACTGTAATACATATAATTTTTGATAATTGCGATGATATGGGTTCAAAAAGGAGAGCATGTGCAAATCAAATTTCGAAAACAATTATTATGAGAAATAATGAATACGTGAGAAAGAACAATACAATTTAATATTTGAAATTGTTTACTACAATATTTAAACAAATATAAAATTCATTGAGAAATAAAAATTATTGGGATCATAAAAGTAAAATTCAAAATTTTAAATTAAGATATACTCTATAGTTTTAATTATGCTCTTTTCGATCTAATTTTTGACAAGTTACATTTACACTTGAACATCATTAAATCATAGGAAAGATGATTAATATTATCTTATATTTATTGAATTTCAATTATATTAAAATATATAATTTCTTATAATGTTGTGAGTAAAGCGCTTTTCAGCAAAGTAGCGCGTTTACTTACACCATCGTGAAAAATTAATATTTGACGAGATAAATATGGAATTCCTTATTTTACTTTAAAAATTACAACTCTCATTCAATTGAGAAAAATGAAAAACAATGTTTAAATTTGAATGTCCGTAGGAAGGAATTCATCGATTCTGATTATAATATATTTTCGCTGACATTAAGGTAAACTAATGTGTACAATATAGGTTATTTTAAATTCTATTTTGGGATTGGCATATTTTTTTTAAATATTATTTCGGAAAGTAAGATATTTATTACCAAAAGAGTGAGTCATTAGAATTTTATATATATACTCACGATTAATTTAGTTTTGTCATTTTCGGGATTGGAAATGTGGTATAATACTCCATCGAAATCTAGTGACATTTTTTTTTATAAAATTATATAAAAAAATATAAATATATTATTTATTACTCCATTATTATATACTAAATAGCCAGGCCGCGTCCTGGTTCGTCTTATTTTTGAAACTTATTTCACTTTAGTCCAGGCTGTTCAGATTTGAATAAGAACACCCTATTTTAGTTTTTTTCAAGTCTATAGAAGGGGGAGTCCATTTATTTTTTAGTGTCCTGTTCTTAATTTTTGGTTTAAATCTAAATAGAATGAAAATTTTCAAGATCAAAATGTTGTTCTACTATTTAGAAATAAGACAATATATAATTTTATATTTATATTTTTAAATAAAATTAATTGCTATGTTCGAAGATCCATAATTATGTTTTTATTATATAAAAGTGTCTACACTAATATTGTTAAACGGCTCAATTTGAGTCAAATTTAAAAAACGGCTAACACAATATTTTATCCAGAAAAATATTACGCAAGCCTGAATTTAGCTCATAGATGGCACTTTTTCTGGCTAAAATATTGAATTAGCCGTTTTTAAAAATCTGCTCATAAGAGCCGTTTAATACTAGTCTACACCATACCCAGGTGTTGGTAATGGTATAGCAAGTGGACTCACAACCAATTACATTTTGAACAACTTATAATATATATATACAAATATCTTAAATAGCCCATGTAGTTCAATTCTATCGATGGTCGAGTTAATAATCCGAAGGTATGAGGTTCAAATCTGGATTAGCGCAAAAATTTTTTTAAAAGGATTTCATACAAAATAAAATAATAAAGGAGCTGAAAAAAATTCAATTTAATTAGAGTTATTAATGTAACTACTTAGAGATACCGAAAATATGCGCAAAAAAATAAAACTAGTTATTTTTGATAAAATATAAATACGAACTTAACGACAATCGAATCGTTACTTTTCAAATTACTTTTAAAATATATTTGATTCATGATCTTTATATGATTATATCCCAAGAATTCATGCATGCTAAATATTTAAAAAATTTTATATTTCTAGCCTTAGTATTTTAAAACTTACTGCTTCCTATTTATAATTTCTAATATTCCCATATTTTAAGGTAATAGGTTTATTTATCATTTAAATTTTTTATAATGTAGCTAGCTTTCTATTTCTTAAACTTCACCGTATAAGACACAAGTAAATGTAAGCTTTTAAATAAATTATATTTATAAATGTGTACTTCGTTTACTATATTGATATGTACAGCCTTTATTAAGAAAATTAAATGAATGGCATTCTTAAATCTAAATAGCCACTTTCTTTCCAGGATGTTTAGAGGAAGATAAAGGCTAAATATAGTTCTGCTAAATAAAACGAAACAGCAAGGCCTCAATAATTTAAAAAATACAACATAAATAACAAAATCTTCAGTATTTATTTAATTTCCATTGAAGAAAATATTCGTATCATATGTTCAGTATAAAAATTGTCAGTTAACCGTTTTGTATTTGAATTAATTTATTTTAGATATATTTTCTACCCATATCTTAATTACCAGTAAAATAATTCTTTATTTTGTTATAATTAATTTACAAGTTAAATTTAGTTACCAATCTATATAGTTAATAAAATTAAAAAATAAAATAAATCCTCGAAAATGGCGTTGTAGTGATTTTTCTCTCTAAATTTTTGAATATTATGGGAGAATTTTAAATTATTTTGTAAATATTATTTGGAACCCGGCAAGGTTTTTGATAATTCGCTACTTTATTCATAAGTTCCAACCTTCTGCTGAAATCTTTTTTTTTAATTATTAGGCCTGACCCAGTTCAAATCGGCCAGGAATTTGCAAATCACTACTAGAATGGGTTCCATCTCAACTTCTAAGCTACTGCATATATAAAATGAATTTTAAAAAAATAATACGTGATATTTTATTTATGAAAAATTACTGGTCATAATACGTATCATTTATTAATTTATCTGCAGCCAAATAATAATTTTATAATTATAAAAATATACCAATCAAAATACAGGCCATTTCTTATAAATACTGCTAGATTTAATAATTGCGTTTTCTATTGTGGGAATTAATTTCACAAAAGAAAACAAAATAAATTGGGTTGTCGTTTTATAACCTGCACTACAATATAAAAGAAATTTATTGATAATGTGCATGTTTATATAGCACATACATTAATATAGGTTAAGTCTAATTATCCTATATGATATATAAATCTTTTGAGTAAAATTTTTGTAAGATAATTATTGACATATATTATGTATTATGAAAGATATATAAATAATAGAGCCGTAAAGTATTAATGAAATGACGCCATTACAAACAGCGTTTCCTCATAAATAAATATAAAAGGTAACAGCGTTACTTTGTTAAAGTAGTATTCATAATAATTATAAAAATATATTAAATATACATGAAAAAACCCCCCAATTTTTATTTTATTCCGACCAATAAAAATAAACTATTAAAAATTCTTAGTGGCCAATAATCACTTTTATATGGAGAGGTTATATTTTATTAATAACAAAAATATATATTACCTGCTAATATTATGTCTGTTTTTTCGAGCTTGGACCTATATTCGATAAGTTCGCATTTTATTTTTTTTGGTAATAAATATGTAAATTATTTAAATACTTTGAAAAATAATAAGTATAGTCCCCTAAAGGAATTATAATGAATCTCAAAAATTATTTTTATTAATCATCGAGTAAAAATTAAAACTCAAACGAATGCTCTCAAGAGATAAGTTAAATCATTTTAATTTAAAATCTACCAGAGATGCACCGATATCACCCTTTTAGCAGATACCGATACCCAACCCAATGCCATAACATGAATAGTACCGAAAATAATAATGGCATATTTCACCAATATTTATTCTGTCATTTATTAATTAATTTATGAAATTCTTCAAAATAAATTAATAAAGTTTAACCGCATCTTCGTTCTTTCTTTTTTATCTAGACATTTTTATTTTATAAATTCATATAATAGCAAATGTTGGCTCAATATTTTTTTAAAATTCATAGTTAATTATCTTTTTGAATATTGACCAATGGTGTGAGTTAAAATTTATGTTGCGTCACAATATGAGCAAAATAGAAATTCAAAATAATAAAAGATAATATTTTGAAATTATTTTGTTTGTAATTTATAAACTATTTGAAAATTGTAATTTTTGAAGCTTCTTTTTTCGAACTTATAACACTCTAAATTTTATAAAATAAAATTTTATTTTCAAAAAAATATTTATTTTTAACAATTCAATCTAACTATATTTGTAAAAATATTAGCTTCAGAAGCATTAATTTCTTAAAGACATAGGACAATAAATTTTAGTACTTATCTTTTTGCATTTCTTAGAATTCTTTATAAAAAAAATTCTCTAATTTTGAAACTGATATAGACGTATTTTTAAAATATTCATGTGTTGACAGGTTTAATTGTTATTAAATACAATCAAATGACGTGAGAGACGTCACTCAGTATGAAGATGCAGGTTCAAATTTTATCCAAAAATGTCTAAAGATCTTTTTTCCTCCATCTAACATTCAGTTTAATGAACTATTGAAAAATTTCTATCAAAGCAAAATTTTTGAAAAAACATTCCTGACGATCTTTGAAGCCTTCAGAAATCCTTGGATTGAGAGCATCCTGAAGCCTTAATCTGCCATTATCAAAGAATATTCACTAAATCGTGTTAGACAATAGGTCTTTAAGCAAAAAGCTTATTTTATAATTGGTCTACAAAATATGATTGATTGTCTTCTATCATCAATTTATGCAAAGGGTGATTACTTAATAAAGTTTGAGTATTATCGTTCTTAATTTTGTATAAAATTTTTCCTAATTTTTGTAATTTAGTAGAGTTTGAAGAATGTAGTGAATACACATTTCTTTTAGTTCACAAATTAATACACTTTATTTTCAATCTATATTATATAGTTCCTTTGATTTGTAAAGCAGAATAAATATTACATGCCTTGCTCTCCCTGATAGTCTATTGATTCAATTTGAGATATAGAAATTGTATATAAGTTCCAAGCATTAATCAAGGTTGTTACAAATAGTATAAGATAAATAAAATATCTATATGAAAAAAATAAATGTATTACCTACTACATACTAGTATATTAAAAGAAAAAAAATATATTTTATTTAAAAATTTTATTAATAAATTAATATTCACTTCCTGTTAAAATTTTCAATTTCTCTTAAAATAATTTGTAAAACACAGCCAAAAATTTTTTTTAAATAATGAAATCTTAAAAATTCTAGGGTGGGCAGTAAAATGATTCAAAATAAAGGGCTAAAGATGGAAAAAGGTATGAATTTTTGGAGAGCAATCCATTGTTTATTTATAAAATATTATAAAACCAGCTATTATGATGAATTAATGTTTAAAATAAACATTTAAAAATGAGATAAGATCAATCTATTAAAAACTGACAGATTTAATATTTTCTTTAAAATGTTATTAGCGCTGATCAAACACTAATTCTTGATATCAGTGCAGCTCTATGAACAATCAAAATATTTTGTCTTGTACTCCTTATTTAATATTAACTTGGGGGAAATTTACTTAATAGACTCAATTTAATAAACCCTAATATTTTATAAATAGTATTCAATAATAAATTAAAGGTCAAGGCCTGAATCTAAGCAAAGGGAGGAACCAAAGTTCAGTAGGATAAGACCAGATTGCAAGGTTTTAATTATACAAAATTTTATAAATTAAATGTTAGCACTTAGCATTAACAATTATATTAATGTTCAATATAAATAGAGCTGTGCAAATTAAATATCGTATTAAACCAGGGTCAATAGAATTTTAAAAAAATATCAGATCAGGTTAATATTTTTTTTAAATTTGATCCAATATTTATTGCTATTTTATAATTGAATATATATTATATAATACTTTTTATTTCATGCATAATTTCAATAATAAAAGAATCTGAAATTTAATTTATTTTTTAATGTTTAAAAATATAATAATTTAAGAAAATAAAGTAGCAAAAGCAACAAGAAAAGGGTTTAAACATATCTAATGAGTCATAATCAATTCAACCATAAGCATTGCTCTTATTTTAAATAAGATGATTCGTTTTTGAAGAATAATAATATCCTTCATAAAAGTTAGTTGATATGAATATAAAATATTGATTTTTTATATAGGCTCAAATATAGATGGTAAATGAGAATCATCAGATTGGCATTGGTTATAAGGTTTTATAGCAATATCAGGATTAAAAAATTGGTTGATCCAAAGCCCTAAATATAAATAATGAAAAGGTAAACTGATCATATTTTATTATGAATGTACTTTAAAAAAATTAATTTATAAAATAATAATTAAGGCTAAAAATTTAATTAATAAATATCGATTAAATTTTTTAAAAAAATGCTTTATTTAATAAAATTAGGACAAATCTTTATTTAAGAATATGTATATCAATTATTTTTACCCTTCGAAACATGCATTAAATTTTAGAGTTAGTGCCTCTTCTAAAGCCTGATTTTTAATATCTAGAAGAATCATTTCATAGAATTGGTAATTGCATCTGTGATTGTGTTGTAAATAGAATAAGCTATCACCATGTGAGTTTAAAAATTTTTATTTCTAATTTTGTTAACATATCGACAATATTTTGCAATAATTTATAAATATATTTATTTAATATTTTCAATTTTAAATGAAGATAACCATGAAACTTGTCCATTGGCAAAAAATTAATAGGTTGTTATGTCCTTGTATCAAATTATAAATAAATCTTAGATAGTATTTTATTTATTAAGAAATCAAACTATTTATGCAGCAAAAGTACTTATTAATAGTATCAATTTCAAATTAACCAATGTTTTACAAAATATACAAAAATATAAAGTTAATAAATAACACTTAAAAATAAAGTGAGATATTTATATACTATTATATTAATACTTAACAAAGGTGAATACATAGTTAAATTATTTTAATTTATATAAAATATCATTAAACAGATGTTAAGATTTTTAATCCTTACTCCCTAATCCAAGTCACACAACATCACATCCCTCAAAAATATTACTCCTCCCTCTCTTACTCCAATTAAAATGTGTAAGAAAGTGAAATCCAAATATAAACTAATATCCTATATTAAATATATTTTAAATGTTAAAATTATTCGTACGACCTTTCGTACTTTTTCTTTCTTTTCTTTTTGTAAAATATATTTGTATGATCTTTAAAAACTTATTGTACTTTTCTTTTTATATATGTTAAAATAACTTTTCTTAAAATAACCTTAAAATGCACATATGTAAATTTTGTTAAAATAATAATACTATATATAGTTGTAAAAAGATATAATATTTTTAGAGAAATAAAGATAAAATAAAATAAATGATATCGCCTTCTTTGAAAATATCATGGTGGCAGAAAAGCTACTTTAGAGATTTTTTAGATATTTTTCAGAGACAAATTTTAGATATGATTTTAGATACTGAAACATGATGAAACTAGATGAAAGAGGATTATGGAATATGATGTTATTTAATTCTAAAACACGTAAGAGATAATTAAAAAGTAAAATTAAAAATAAATAAAATAAAATAAAATTTTAACAATAAGATATTTAAAATTTGATTAAACCTATATGGGACAATAATGACAAAAAATCCATAGGTAAATTAGAAGATTATTTAATATATCGAGATAGTAAAAATATTTTAAACTTAATACTTAATTTACCATATGATTTATTTTTGCTTATGGAAGGAATGATACCGAAAGATGGAAGTTCAAGTTATGAAGAAGCAATGTTTATATTAAAATGTTTTTGTAATTATAAAGAGGTAAAGGAGATAAATGAAACATCTAGATCAAATAATATATCTTATTCTAATAAAAATTTTAAATGTCAAAATTATAAAAATAATTATAATAATAATAAAAACTTGAATAAAATTGAATTATGTAAATTAATACCAAATGTTAAAAACGAAATAAATTCTTATAAATTAAAAGAAATAAATCATATGATAAAAATTGAAGAAATAATAGTGATTAAAGAAAATAATGAAATAAAAATTAAAGAAAATAATAAAATAACATAATTAATAAAAAATTTAAAAAACTTTGAAAATAAAGAAAATTAAAACAAATATTAAAGAGAAAGGCAGGGTAATTAAATATATTGATGTTGAAAAAGTTTTTAAGAATATGATATGGACATCGTATGATAAAAATGGAAGGAGAAAGAGAAATTTTTTTATAAAAAGTTAAAGATAAATTATAATATAAAAAAATTGTTTAAATTGAAAAATAAAGGAGTAAAATTCAAAAATTTAAAAATAAAAATAATTGAATAATAAATTTAAAAAAAACTTATTATATAAAACGCGACAATTCAAAATATTTTATTATTCTATATCCCAAATTATGATTATTATTCTTATTCTATGAATGATTTCGATAAATTATTTATTCCATTATCATTCAATTATTCCAAAATTATTTTATTCGAGATATATTCATCATAATATCTATTTACAAACATTGATAAATAAATACAAATGATAATAAATAACGAGAAGAACAAACTAATGTGAGAATGAGGTTCAAGCGAATGATTAGACGATAAGGATAACAAGCTACGAACAAACCAATGAAAAAGATATAACTGAGGCTAAACAACGAATATAATATCAAATGAAAATTCTACAACAAAGCAGAAAAAAATAGTGAACAAGTTCAAGTTCAAAATTCACAAATTCAAAATCAAGTTCAAAAGCGAGTATATGGCTTACGACCTAGAAAATGATTGTTATAAATAAATAAAAATTTTGAAAAAAAAAATTTATATATAAAAATTTGAAAGCGAAATGGAAATGGGATGATAAATACAAACAGCAAATCAACAAACGATATTTTACAAATGATGTTCACAAGCGATAATTCGATTGTCATACAAAAAAACTCAAGCCATACTAACAAATGACTAATGGATCAATCGAGAAACAAATGAAAAATGGTAAAGAGGAGAAACTGAAGAAAGAAATAACTTAAAAAAAAGGGAAATGTTAAATTTATTTTAAATGTTAAAATTATTCGTACGACCTTTCGTACTTTTTCTTTTGTTTTCTTTCTTTTTCTTTTTGTAAAATATATTTGTATTTTAAAATTTATTGTACTTTTCTTTTTATATATGTTAAAATAACTTTTCTTAAAATAACCTTAAAATGCACATATGTAATATTGTTAAAATAATAATAATATAGTTGTAAAAAGATATAATATTTTTAGAGAAATAAAGATAAAATAAAATAAACGATATAGCCTTCCTTGAAAATATCATCCTACAACATTTAATTTTAATCAAATAATAATAATTTCTTTATAACTAACTATCACTCCCAATTTCAATGGCGCTCTTATATCATATCCCCCCCCCCCACATAGTAGCCTTCAGCATTTTTAGCGGGGGAGGGAGAGGTAAATGCAGTTTGCTTCCAATTTTTTAACATTTAAAGTGGTAGGCTAGGGGTAGGATAAATTATTGGGGGGGGGGGGGCTATACATTAAATTTTAGATAAGATAGGAGCAAATATATTGATGTAAAAAATTATTAAATTATTTAATACTTTTATAATTTATAGACCCATATTGATACAATGATATTTCTAAACACTGACCAAATATGTGTTGCCTACAATAGTTATTATTTTTTAAACCAAACTTATTTATGGAAAATTTTCTGCTCTTTAAATGTAATTTAAAATGGTTAGATGTACTATCAGCAAACATACTCATGCCAAACAATATACTATAATTATGCATTCGTTGTAAATGAGAGGGCTTCTAATTTAATTCATGTCTTCTAAAATGGCATTTATATATCAATACTGATACTTATTCTAAAAGTATCTCTAAATTCAGATACAGACACCACATTTTATATCTAAATACTTTAACAATTCTAAATTGTTAAATATGAAATTCATGAGTGTGGGATGTGGTCTTGGCCCAATCTCTTTTTAATCCACAGAAGTTTAAATAATAGACTTTGGATTATGCGTTAAAGTGCATATGGTTTTCTCATAAAAGCCTATATAGCTTCTCATTTTTCCAAAATTTTCTTTAACATCTAATTAGGTGGAAATGATGTATTCACGACATTAGAGGGCATATATGCTTTACATAGGCGTAGCCAGAGGGGGGGGCAAGGGAAAATTCCCCCCTCCCTTCAGAAATTTATCACTTTTTGTAAATAACATTTTTAGCTAATAAAAAAATATCCCCCTTAGTCCTCCCCCCACTCCCTGACCCTCAAATATGTATGCATATATCTTAAATAATAATTTAAAAGAAAGAATGTAAAAGTTGATATTTTTTTATAAAACTATTCATCATAATTTATATTTTAGGAAAATAAATTTATAAATATGTAAAATGAACCAAAATTTTTTTTAATAAATGGAATATAAGCCAAAAATAAGTCTTTAGATCCATAAAATTACTAAATAATATAATATATCAAATATAATTTTTTATAAAGTTAGTAATTTTAATCTATTTATCTTAATAAAAGTAAAATATAATTATAAAACTATTAATAAAATTAAATCATAAATTAAAAAAATATTAAAACACAATACAAACAGTGGAATATTATATGTCGTAGATTTACAGTAATATCTAATTATCAAATGACAATCAAGTAATTTTTACCAATATAGCGAATTATATATTTTACAGAAATGTATAAAATAATGATAAGGATATCAGAAAATATCTTTTAAAGACACTGTGGGATGAATAATATGAAAATTAATTTTTAATATCATTTTTATTTAATATAAATAAATGGCGTTAAATAATTGAATGCAAATTGTTGCTATATTTATTATTAAAGAGCATTGATTAGTAAAATTTGTTAAAATATTAACTGTAATATATTCTCTAACTGTCAAATATGTCTGTAAAAGTGGAATTTTACTTAGTATTTTATAACTAATTCTATATAATAGAGTAAAATCAACTATATGACTACTTACTTTTTATAAATAAATTTTTTATAATTGTTTGGAATAAATTATTACTATGCTTTTATATTAAGATATATACAATACAAGTAATTTATTATATTTTTATCACTTAAAATATATATATATAAAGATTTAAGCATATACCCGTCACTCTTAATATGTCTATTTTATAAAATCTAAGAAGTAATATGTAATTCATTTATAATAAAGATTAAAATCCTCAATCGATAGTTTCCCAAAAGAGATTTATAACTCTCTAAATATTAGCATTAGTATCCTTTGTGTTTTTAAAATATTTATTTTAAAAAAAATCCCAATAAACGTGAAAAGTCACAAATGTTTAAACAATAAAGATTTATATCTCCAAATTATTATTTAAGATTTCAAAATTAAATTATTAATTTGATTAATTAATATAAATTATGAAATAATAAACTAATTTTCCGTTTATGGATAATGTTTTTTATCTTTTATTTGAAATCTCAAAAAATTGCATACCAACACCATTTTTTTTTTAAAAAGGTATGTCACAGATATCCTTACTAGAGATCTGCAATTGGCGGTGTTTTAACTCGAATGCCTACTCTCGACTATAACTTAGA